ATGTGTACTTTTATTACAAAACACACTCTCTTATCATGGGCATTTAGAAATATGCATTTGGATACACAGCCACATACACAACACAAGTCATCATTTCAGTAGACTGCAGTCAAGCCATATACACAATTGTATGTTTGCAGGCATTTGTGTACAAAACTTCTCTATACCTGCAAGACTACATAGTACTATCACTGCTATCAAGTAATAAAAATATATTCTTATATACTAGAATTGACATACAGTAGTAGTATCACTTTCATAAATATTCTTCCAAGGACTACAACCCTTTCAGCAGATTGCTCTTTTCTTACCCTGGCGTGAGCTTCTTGCTGCCTGACAAAACTATCTGCAGATACACGAAGTTTCGCTATTCGCGTGTCCCAGATATCCTTAACCAAAGTTCTTATCTCATCTGCCTTTGGAATATTATCTGCAGCACTAATGCAGAAAAGAAATAGATTGGTGAGATTACAAAAAGGTAGCGGTCACACATGTTGTTAGAAGAAATCCTTCATATAAACAATATTAATTAGCTTCTAAATACAAACCAAAAATGTCAAGCAACATATATATGCATTATTAACATTAGATAACTATATATTATATAAAATAATAGGTGCAAACAGATTAGAAAAGTGCTCTGGAGCATTTGCAGTTTGTAGATTTCTTGGCAATTTCCAATCAATGCAATCCTAGTTTTTTTGTGCTCTGGCAGAATTAGAATTTGTTGTATTTCCAAACATTATTACGAATAAGAAACCTACTCACTAGTTCAGCAACAACTTAGTTAATTCCATGTAAAAAGGGTTAGGCATTGGGGTGAAAGTGTCCTCTTTGCGTTCCTGATCTCGCATTTGCTCCAACTTTTCTGTAAAGCAATTAAAAAAATGAGTTGTAAGAGAAATTCCCCAGAAGTTTTTATTTTAAAAACCAGGTTAGAAACCAGGAGACAGCGAGTTCTGGTTCTGCCGTAGGCAATTGGGTGATTTCAGGCCAATCATTAGGAGACAGTAGTCTAGTTCCACCTTAAGCAAGAAAGCCAGCTGGGTGACTTTGGGCCTGTTTCCCACTCTCAGCCCAACCCACCTCACAGGATTATTGTTTTGAGGGAAAATAGGAGGAGGAAGGAGTATTAGGCATGTTCACCACCTTGAGTTATTTATAACACTAATAACAGCTGGGTATAAATAAGTCAATACAGGGAGTCCTCGACTTACAACGGTTCATTTAGTCCGTTACAACAGCACTGAAAATAGTGACTTATGACCATTTCTCACATTTATGATTGTTGCAGCATCCCAACGTTCGTGGGATTTACATTCTTGACAACTGACTCGTATTTATGATGGTTGCAGTGTTTCAGGAGTCATTTTGCAACCTTCTGATCAGGCTTCAACGGGGAAGCCAGATTCACTTAACAACCCTGTTGCTAATTTAACAACTGCCGTGACTCACTTAACGAAGGTGGCAAGAAAAGTCGTAAAATGGGAGAAATAAACGTTTCACTGAGCAACGTAAAATTTAGACTCAATTGTGGTTGTAAGCTGAGGACTGCCTGCAATACAATGAGAAGGACGTCTAGCTTGCTGGCTTCCTGTGCAACAAGCTGAAAGGCCCAAAGGGAACCTGGGCAGGGGAACATGGGGTTGAGGGTGCGAAGAGGGTGAAACGTGGCACTCCTTACCCACATCCATCCAGTCGGGGGCCACCAGCCGGCACTTCTGCCTCTGTTTCAGGTTGAGGGCCAGCCAGAGAGGCACCTCCACAGGCAGCCCCGGGTTAAAGGGGCCCAGCTCGCCCTGCAAGAAGGAGAAACTTAGCAAGAGACCCCCCCCCCAAATGGCCCACCTGCCCACCCTTACCTGCGACACTTCCCCCCCCCTGAAAAAAATTGGGACCTTCCAAATCTCTCTCTATTTCCAAAGGATTTTCCCAAGGAAGCTGCTCAGGCAGGCTGGCTGGCTGGGGATGATGGGGATGGAAATCCCCACAGGCATGGATGTAAAGTATCTTGGGAGACCACAAATCCCATAATTCCTTGTCAAAACATCCCGGTTGGGAATGATGGAACTCTTTAATCACAAATCCCATAACCTCCCACTCCCAGCCATGAAGGCTGGGGCTGATTGGAATGGGAATCTCCCCCTCCCCTCCCCCCACAACAAAAAGGATCCTTTGGAATAAACGTTGGGGACTACAAATCCCACACTCCCTTGCCAACACATAATCTAGCCGGGGCTGATGGGAGCAGTTGAGGACCTCCTTAAAGCATTAGCCATAAACCCCATAATCCCCTACCAGCGTCTATCCCAGTCGGGCCTGAGGGCAGTTTATGGGGGTTGTAGGCAACTACAACCCCCATAATCCTCAGCCACCAGCGGCACTTGGGCCGATGGGAGATGAAGTGTAACCACCCCTCCCCCGGACAACAACGGACATCTCGTTTCGGGACTTCAGTTCCATAACCCCCCGCCGGCAAGGAGCATGGGAGTTGTAGTCCCGAAGGCCTCACCCCGATGAGGTAAATCCTGTCCAGGCTGAAGTTGGGGATGATGGTGACCATCTCTCGCTCCGCCAGGAATTCGACCTCGGCGGCATCCATCACGAAGGAAAGAAGGAAAAACCGGCCGCAAAATCCTTCCCGCCGTCGCCTGAGGAGAAACCCCGATGGCCGCCCTGGCACCGCCCACCCTGGCGATCGCGCCTGCTATTGGTTGGAAAGAAGAAGCCCCGCCTTTAATCCTTGTTTCGTCCTATGACCGCCTCGGCTTTCGTCGCGCGCGCTATCTCCTCCTCCTCCTGCCATTGGTTGGAAGGGAAACCAGTGCCCCGCCCACTGTTTATTTCTCGTCCTATGAAAACCTCTGCTTTTTCCGCGCGCTGTTACTTGCCCTCCGGAGGAGGCGGTTTCTGTCATTGAGGGAAATCTAAGGGAAGCCCTGCCCTTTTTTTCGCCTAGGAGCCAATCACAAGCCTCTTAGCCACGTTTGTTTCTAGTTCCTCGGGTCAACACGACCTGCCATTGGAGGAATAGAAAAAAAAAATCGAGGTCCTCCCATTCATTAGCCATTCATAAACCACAGCGAGTGAACCCCTTTGTTCCCGCCTTTTCCCGCTAACTGACGGCGGTCGCACTGTTTCCTCATTGGCTCAGGGCATTGTTTTTTTTCTCTGATTGGCTCTAGTCTCAGCATTAGAACTTCATTAAGAAGCCAAAGTGGGCGTGGTCATAGATGTGGGCGGGGCCTGAAAGCCACGTTGCCTAACAGCTGTTGCATTAAGCTACGATTTTGCAGGGAGGAAAAATGACATTTGTGCAATAAAAAAAGGAGGCCAGCAATGCAAATAAAGCAACAATAATTAGTCCCTGAAGAACTCAAATGAATGGTCCATAAGAAACCCACCTGCAGACCTATTATTATTATTTCTTTGGCCAATTAAAAAGGGGTTAGATATAAATCCCTGTTTTTCAAACTAGTCAAAATGGTCGCTAAATGAAGCACTGTAAATCAAGGACTACTACCGGCATTAAACTTTGGTCTCCCAGCTCCCATCATCCTGAACGTTCCCCCCCCCCCCACCTCTGGAAATCCTTCCCGTGTTCCTGTCTGCTGCTCCATCGTTTTGTTTTTTTAATTTCCAGCATTTGCAGCAGGGGAAAAATAATAAACATAATAAACCACCCCTCGAAATCCCATCACCTGCCTTCCTCAAGGGAGCCATTGCCTGATCTTAGTGGAAGGCATGAAAACTCGCAACTGACTTTGGCACAGTGCTGATGCGCTCCCCTGCCTTTTACCATCTGCTAGTCCTGCTTTTAAAAAATTGCATTTCCATCTGTTTTAAAACACCGCCACTCCCCCTCCCCCCACCCTCTTTCCCCAAGGCTCTGGGTGTGATCTGGGCTTCAGAAGCTCATGGTGCATCCTAGACAGGACGGGCAACTCTGGGGTCAGGTAGGACCAGGGGTGAAATCCAATTTTTTTTACTACCGGTTCTGTGGGTATGGCTTGGTGGGCGTGGCAGGGGAAGGATACTGCAAAATCTCCATTCCCTCCCCACTCTGGGGCCAGCCAGAGGTGGTATTTGCCGGTTCTCCAAACTAGTCAAAATTTCCGCTACCGGTTCTTCAGAACCTGTCAGAACCTGCTGGATTTCACCCCTCGGTAGGACCAACTAGCTTGGCTGAAATTGCAAGGGAAAAGTTGCAGATTTTGCAACTCACTATTGGTTTGCAAAAATGTTTGTCTTCTTTTGTAGGAGGGCTGTATGATTATTATCCTTCTCATCTTCCTTATCTTATCATCTTTTCTACTACCTTCTCCTATTGGTATCTATGATTTATCACTTGTTGTATCTCATGATTAATGATTGTAATATGATCTGTGATAGATGACTTATCACTTTGTTGTTGTAGGTACATTGAGAACTTATGCACCGGAAATAAATTCCTTGTGTGTCCAATCGCACTTGGGCAATAAAGAATTCTATTTTGATGTCTCTTCAGCCTCCACATTGAAGAACCTCAAAAACAGATCATCTGGTGGCTACAGATTAAACCCCCAAATGGCCTCAATGACCCTCAGAGTGCTAATGACCAGATGACTGCAAAGACTAGAAATCCTTCCATTCCCCATTATTCAGTCAGAACTGAGGAAGCTTCTTGGTTGGAAAGCAAAACATTTTCAAGGGAAAAAAACCCCAAGAAAGTCCAGTTGCCTTTTGGAAAAAGCACTTTTGGGACATCCAAGACCTGGATGATCGAGAAGCCCCATAGATATTTGAAGATGACACCTGTGAAGGACACTTCATTGTTCTATGGGCAGCTCTTAGATCACTGTTTCTTAACCTTGAGAACGTGTGGACTTCAACTCCCAGAATTCCCCTTCTGGCACAAGATCAAACACACAGCTTTGGACATATAAGGAATTGGAGACGATAGTTGTGTTGGAGAGAGAAAAGAGCTTGTTCTGAACAGAATAAACAGCTCAACATAAACATCAGGTGGAAAAATTTTTTAATGTGGTGTAATAAAACTGTGATGCTTTATAAATATTCCACCCACTCCAAAGACTTGGAAAACATGACTTTTCAAGGAGGAAAAAAAAACCTAGAACATGCCAATTCATGCTAAATTGGAAACAAAACACTCAGTCGGATCTCGCATTCAATTAAAACGTTTGCATCTCATTTGAATGAACCTGGAGGCATGAAACAATGATTGAAAACTGAATGTCTGTTTTGCAACCATTATAAAATGGGATAAAAGGGGGGAAACTGCACCCCACCTTCTTATATAGCCGAGCTTGAGAGAATCGGGGAACAATCCTTGGGGATTTATTCCAACAATACATTCCATCTGGAATTATAAGTCCATCGTCTTTCATCCTGAGTGTAGAACGCAGGTTGAGTCGGTTTTAATTGCTTCATGGCACAAAGTTGGTGGAGAGAGTTTTGATGCCTTTGATCAAGAGTCAAAATCTGGCTATGGAAAAGAACGGCTTCATCACTGGACAGCTGTTTGTCCAGAATGGTATACGGTCTCCTGCTCAAGCAGGGGATGGACTAGAAGACCTCCAAGGTCCCTTCCAGCTCTATTCTAGTCTGATTTGATGATGTCAGTCTTGATGGAAACCAATGGTGATCTCTTATGCCATTCATCTTAGATTAGGATCATTCTATCCACAACAAACCCACTATTTTACTCTCTCATTGGCTGTGAATGAAATCCATCTGACTTCTTTCCATTCCAGCATTAGGTGGCAAGGAAGACAACGTTCCCTCCAACAGAGAATCTTTCTGGCTGGATGAAAATCACCTTCCTTCTCATTTTTTTAATGAAACTTTGTTTTGATTGTGGAAAGGAGGCAGCCTACATCACTAAAGTCACGAGGGCAGCACTGCAGATCACACAACTGATGCAAACTGGTGCGAATCAGATTTGTGTACAATGAAGTCAACCCCACCGATCATTATGGAATTTCACTCATGGCATGTGGCCTGGAAACCCAAATTCTTGGAAATTAAGGTTTCACTGCATTCCTTATACTGTGAGTCGAGTCTGTCTTCTCCAATCTAGTACCCATCCAAAGCGTTGTACCACAGCAACCATCATTTCCAATCAGAATGGCTCCTAGGATGCTTTCTTTGTCTTGGCACCTTCTGGAGACACCAGGAGAAAAACAGCACCCAGAACAAATGGAGAGGACAGATGCTAGGTTGGAGACAGTCAGATTTGGCTCCTATCCTGCCCCCACCATGTCGCTTGCAAGTACAGAACTCTCTTCTTGGAGAAGCTCAAACTAAATAGAATCTCCATAACCTTCCTTCCCAGTCCCATCCAATTAGCCCAATTCCTAACCGGGTTAGCAAAATCACGACAAGTCTGTTAATTTCCTATCAGGTCTATGGCTTCTTAACTTTTGGAGAAAGTTCCCCGCTTAGGGTCAAGTCTTACTTAAACCCATTCCCAAGTTCTTCATTAGTTGCTTCTAAGACCTAGAGACCACCTCTACCTGAAAAGAAGGACCAGGGGAGAAAACCAAGGGCACTTTTCCTCCATCCACTCAGGATCTTGGAGCAAAACAGAGTTAGATTGTTTTGTTAAAGTAGTCTTACATCCCAGTTCGCAGAGGGACATCTGCTGGAAGGGTTGCCCCATCCACCTTGAACACAACAGAAAAAACCCATGAGAATTTAGTGTTGCTCAGAAGGAGGGACCATCCAAACAGGAGATCGAACAGCAGCAGCAAAAAAAGAAAGCCATACGACTTCAGTCTTTGCTCTTGAAATCATCCCATTTCTCCTTAAATCTGCTCTTAGATACCAACAGAGGATCTGGATCTTCCGTGCAAGTCAGTGTTCTTTCCCTTCAGACAATGACCTAGGCTGGGTCCAAGTTGAGCAACATCACTAAAGAACTTGGAAGCCATCAGCAGGTCTTGCTGCCAAGTATCTCCCCACCCATCCATTGCTCCACAATCCTTACGATCACCATAGATCTTCTTCCAAGTAGACACCGGCTTGGCAGATTCCTTGAATGACCCTTTGCCTGTTCCAGGTCTGCAACAGGTTCCATGGTCTCAAGGGTGAGTGAGGTATATCTGGAGATGTTGGTCCATTTTTAAACAGCCCGGCAAAAGGGAGAAGAAATGGGAGTTTGCAAAACTCAGAGGCTGGAGAAGTTCTTCATCAAGATGTTGGAGAACCCCGTTCTCTAGCAATGCCATGGGCTGCCTCTTCTCCTTGGCCGGGAGGCTACATCTCTGCCTTCTGGTTCAGCAGGTGTCTTGAGGTTCATCGCTATCCAGGCTGGGCTCTCTCAAAAGCGCCTTCCCCGTGGGGGTCGGGGGAGTGATAATAATATCTGGGACTCTTAGCCTTTTCTCAGCCATGACGGCCACATCGCTGCTGCCGACCCCAGCGCCGCTTACACACATTTTGAAGCCTAAAAGAGAGAGAGAAAGTGAGGAACATCCAGATGTTTCTTGTGGCACCTGGCGGCAATTGAGAAAGGAAATAAATTCCCAAATGAACCAGATGGTCCCTCCCTTTGACCTAAAAGCCATCCCAGGATCTATATTTGACAGCCCATCTCCTAATCTCTCTGCAACTAGAAAGAGTCCCCAATTCTTCCTTACTCACTGCCCATATGGTCAAGGTGTTCTTGGAGACCCAAGATCTACCACCTGCTCTTTGGCAGTCTTCTTACATGGTGTGACTTCATCATGATGTAAAGACAATTCCAGAAGATCTTGAATGAGCTGGGGTTACCCTGAATATAAACCATGCTTTTGCAATGATATCCAGCTGCTTCCAACCAGAAATGATAGATATCCCACCTTCTTTGCTAGCTACAAAGTCAAACGTGTTGTACGGATGTCCTCTAGTGGGCATGCCAGGGATGGCCGCCTCTGGACTGACCTCACCTAAATAGGATTAATTCGGGAGACATCACCCTTTCCTGAACCAGAGGAAATATTCCGTGGGAAATCAGGGCGATGGAGAGTCAGGAATCAATCGTTTGGGATGTGGGGAAGGGAAGACGAAGGCAAAGAGATCTAGCAGGTTCCATCAGCAGTACAAATGGAGGGACAGGACAGGACTGTTTGGGTATGTCAACAACCCTCTGAGGAGAATGGCTGTAGTTGGGATCTTACCCAATGAGGACCGTGTGCGTCTCTTGCAGCAGCTAACCTCTTCGCAGAGATCTTTCCACAGACTGAAGGGGTCAACTAATGATTGAATGTTCTTCCTTGAATTTCTCAAAAATGGCAGGGGGCTACGACTGGGTTGCAAATTTCTCAATTTATCTGTGCACGATCTAAAAAAGGTTCTCGTGTATTTGTGGTGAGTCCACCTACTAGGTGGCTTCACTGGGATGTAGGAGAAGAAGAAAAAAATGCCCGTTTTCCATCTGATTCTCCTGTACCATGCCTCCTTTTCTTTATCTATCCCGCTTAGTTGATTTTTTTTTAAGCAAAGCAATTAGCTTAATGACCATAACAGCGGCAGCAGCGATTCACTTAACAACCCTGTTGTAAAATTGGGTGTGACTCACTCATTCACTGCCTTGCTTAGCAGTGGACATTCTGGGCCCAATTGTGATCGTAACCCAAGGACTAATTGTAGTTCCTTGATTGTTTTGCCTACTGTTTCTTGCATCTTCTCTGGCTCAACAATATCCCGAAAACCGACCTAAAACTCAACCTCATAAATTGTGTCACAATCAGAACAGAACTAAGCCCAGCAGGGTGTCCCAAAACAATGGATGGAAACTAAACAAGGAGAGAAGCAACCTGGAATTAAGGAGAAACTTCCTAACAGTGAGGTCAATTAACCAGTGGAACAGTTTGCCACAAGAAGTTGTGGGTGCTCCATTACTGGATGTTTTTAAGACTAGACAACCACTTGTCTGGAATGGTATAGAGGCTGCTTGAGCAGGGGGTTAGACTAGAAGACCTCCAAGATCCCTTCCAGCTCTATTCTGGTTGATTGTTTGCCATTTTAAGGCTTTTGCATTAAAAGTTCTATTTCTAAGGAAAACCGAGTGCTCGGTTTGCAAAGTGGGCAGGACAGGAACGAAGCCGGCAGAAAAACAAAGAGGTTAATATGAAACTAATAATAAATTCGCCTGCTTTTCCTCGGAGGACTTAGTTTTTTTTTTTTTTTTTTTTTGAACCCCTGTGCTTAGACTTGGCCCCTCGCTGCCTGGGCTGTGGTGTCCCGGAGGGATTGGCACAAGAGGACAGAGGCAGCGTTGCAAAAGTCCCCACTTCAGTGGCGCTTTGAGAGGAGAGCCTGCGTCACTCAAGACGTAGTTCGCAACCTCTCTGCCTTCCTGGCTTGCCACACGATGATATTTAAGCAGAACAGGCTCAACAGGCTATTAACAAGAGGACTGTTTGTTTGGAGATCAATATGAGGTCTTTCTCTCCAGCTGGTGGATAAACCTGCATTAAGGCCCAAAGCCAAAATCTTTAGTGTGTCCCCGATGGATGTAATTTACAAATGCATTTGCCGGCTGCACGGAGCAAGCCACTGGGTGCCTTTTACGCATAAAGGGCTAGGCTGGGTCCCTGCTACGTTCACGAGGCAGGGCGACTGCCGGGAGGCACGTCAGCGAACCTCGTGGTCAGCACTTAATGGCTTTAGGACTTGGGTTGATGATGCAAAGAGCCGGAGGGAGCTCAAGCTATTCTCCAAAGCACCTGAGGGCAGGACAAGAAGCAACGGATGGAAGAAGCAACCTAGAACCCTCCGATCCCCTAAGATATAGTGACATCCAAAGGTTAAGACTGCGCTGGGGAGATTAAAAGGTTTGCATTTTAAGTAGGAACATAATCTAATGGTCTGCAGGAATAACAAGAGTCGAAGGGAGGGAGGGAGGAAGGAGAAATTTATTTTATTGCACCCTTCCAGACTTGGTTAACTAACTAGTTGAAGATTGGGAGAGGAGAGGGGAAAGAGAAGAAAGAAAGGAAAGGAAAGGAAAGGAAAGGAAAGGAAAGGAAAGGAAAGAAAGAAAGAAAGAAAGAAAGAAAGAAAGAAAGAAAGAAAGAAAGAAAGAAAGAAGAAAAAGATAAATAAATAAACAAACAAACAAATAAATAAATAAATTTCAGTGTGGCACTGAGAAGGCACCACATTGGTTGGCTGAGTTTATTTTTCTTCCAGCCGTGAAAAATTGTTGGTATCAACTTGCAGAAGAAATGAGTCAGCAGCATCTGCAGGAAGTGGTCAAAAAGTCAAGCTGGTCACTGTGGTGGAAACAACGGAAGCTTCACCTGTTGTGCAGGTGCATCGGGCAAGGTCAGCCAAGCTCTGCCATCTGCTGAGGCTAAAAGTCAAATCTATTTCCTGCGGGCTAAGCTTAATTCCTGGTCACTTCACGAAGCTGCCCGTGGGTTTCCGGACAGCCGACAGTCCTGGCTTTCCCACCCAGGGACAAGGCAAATCTCAACCTGGTTAGTTTCTATAATCAGAGAATCTCGGCCAGCGGCTTCTGCGGTTTCACTGTCTGGATGAGCAGTGCCATCCGGGCTGCCTGTACGGAGTCTTAACAAGCAAACTTTGGGAAAAACAAAGGGCTCAGGATGGAATTTCCTGGGGCAACGCATGTAATATGCAGCGTAGGGAGCATTTGCAGAAGGATGAAGTTCCCCAGGGATGCATATCCTGATTGCTGCACCTGTTGGCTCTCTACCTGCCCCAGAGCAGATCTTTCTGGAGAAGAGAAAGATTCCTCTGAAGGGGCAGCTTTGAAACCTGACTGTCATCCCAAAGGGGGCAGGAATTATCTATAGTACATAGTCCAGTCCGTGGTTGTAGCATGGCTCTCTGGGGTAGGGGGGAGCCAGTCTGCCCCCCACCCTGCAAGAAGACCTCCCTGGGAAGGGGAATCAGCAGGCGCTGGGCCTTTAACTCCATTAAAGCTGAGAGCACCTGCTGGCACCGGGGCTACGCAGCAGTGAAAAGCTAATGGGAAATGCAATATTTAGCATTTGTCCCAATTACCCAGCGAGAGAGCGGAGCACATCGAAAAGGGGGAGGAGGAGGGTGGAGGAGAGGAAGGGGAGGAAGAACCTTATGAATGGTGTTTCAAGAAGAGAAGGAGGTGGCGGAGGAAGAACTGGAGGAGAAAAAGGAGAAGAGGGGGAAGGAGGAGGAGAAGTAGGAGTAGGGGAAGGGGAAGAGATGGAGGAGGAGAAATGAGGAGAAGAGGGAGGAGGAGGAGGAGTGATTAAAGGAGAAGGAGGAGAAAGAGAAAGGAGGAGAAGAAGGAGGAAAACAGAAGGAGAAGGAGGAGGAGGAGAGGAAGGAGAAGAAGGGAAAGGAGGAGGCGGCGGCGGAGAAATAAACGGTGCTTCAAAAAGAAGAAGTGGAGGAAGAAGCAGCAGTCACAATGGAAGAGGAGGGGAGAGAGTACTCTCTGAATTGGGGCTTCCATCCCTCCTCTGCCTCTACCACACACACACACCCTGCTTGGGACATGAGGAAGCCCTCTCTCCTGGAGGATGCTCTTGGGTCTCTCTCCATATCAGCTGCTTCTTCTGCCAACTCACTCATCTTGCTGGCTTGGGACCCTCAGAGAAGCTGCCCTTTCAGAGCCTGATCGCTAGACATGCTGGAGGGGGAGGCGAGGCAGGGGTGGGGAGGATAGGTTCCCATTACATTACTTATAAGTAAGTCCGGAGCAGGGCTTGTGTTGGAGTTGGCCTCTGCATCGCCTTCCCCATTTCCAGGCAAAGACTCATGATCCCTCCCTCTTCTCTGGGCTGGCTTTTAAAGTCACACCCGATCATTTTGATTGTTCTTAATGGTCTGGGTTTCAGGGCAGCTTGCAAAGGGCTCTCAGCGTAGAGAGAAACGTAGCTCAAAACCGACCTGCCTATTCGGGCTGCCAAAGGGGGCAGCCCATTGGGCCCTGAGGCACCCATAGAGACCCAAAGACAATCCAAATCGGGGTGGGTGAACAGTGAGCAACTTCTTAAGATTGCTTGCAGGTCCTCTCGGACTTCCTTCTCTGCTATCGGTGAATGCACCTCTTATTCCTCGCAGATGAAGGCGCGTATACGGTATGTGTCCCAGCATAATGTGGCAGGATCCAATCGGAGTTGGTCACGGGGACCAAAGGTTTATTCTTCCAAGCTTTCGTGTTCGCCCATCATCAGGGAATTTCTCTCTCTCTCTCTCTCCATGCAATTTCACAGCTACTACGATTGTTGGCCGAGCAGGAACAAAAACAGCCAGGGAAATGACTGAAGCCTGGGAAACAGGCCCCTTGTCAGTCAACAGGAGAGATGATTTACCTGCAGTTTATCGGGTACTTAGGTGCCAAACAGCGGCACAAGAAAACAATCAGTGACTTAATAACTAGCCACCAACACCCTAATTAGCAACTAAAAGCTACATACAACCAAGTATAAATACAACGCACGGAACAGCCCTGTGCATATATTCTGGAGAGAGAGAAGTTCCCCAGTGATGGGATCCAGCATGAGCCCGAAAGCTTAGAAGAATAAACCTTTGGTCCTGATGACAGACTCAGATTGGATCTTTCCTTCTTCCTTTCCTTTCCTTTCCTCCCCTTTCCTTTCCTTTTCCCTCCCCTATTCCTTCTTTCCTTTCCTCCCTCCCTCTTTTTACTTGTTTCCTTTTCTTCTTTCCCACCTTCCTCTTCTTCTTTTCCTTTCCTTCTTTCCTTCTTTCCTTTCCTTTCCTTTTCCTTTCCTTTCCTTTCCTTTCCTTTCCTTTCCTTTCCTTTCCTTCTTTCCTTTCCTCTCCTTCTTTCCTTTCCTTTCCTTTCCTTTCCTTTCCTTTTCCCTTTCCCCATTACTTCTTTCCTTTCCTCCTCCCTTTTTTTACTTGTTTCCTTTTCTTCTTTCCTACCTTCCTTCTTCTTTTCCTTTCCTTTCCTTTCCTTTCCTTTCTTTTTCCTTTCCTTTCCTTTCCTTTTCCTTTCCTTTCCTTTCCCTTCCTTCCTTCCTTCCTTCCCTTCCTTTCCTTTTTCCTTTTCCCTTTCCCTTCCCCATTCCTTCTTTCCTTTCCTTCCCCCTCCCTCTCTTTTTACTTCTTTCCTTCTCTTTCCTACCTTCCTTCTTCTTTCCCTTTCCCTTTCCCTTTCCCCTTCTCCTTTGGTTTTGCATCCACAGGTGCTGCAGGACACTTTGCCGACTCCCAAGAATTCCTGCCAAGTCTGATTTGAAGTAGGCAAGGGGGAGGGAGAGAGCGAGGGGGGAGGGTTGCGTATGTCGTAGGTGGCTTTTGGCTCAGTTTAAGGCAGCCATAAAAACCTTCTTGCTTAGAAAGCCAAGCCGGAGTGAACGGTGCCAAAGGTCTTCGCCCAATTTTTCCGGAAGGCAAAAAAAGTCTGCCAATCCTGCAAGCAGCAGCTTTTAGTCTTCCATTAGCCTTCCATGTGCTTCCCTTCACTGCTGAGGAGACACATTTTGCCATTTCTACTTAACAAATGATCAGGGTGGGTAACGCACAACCTTCCAAACTAGTTTGCAACACCCAGAGATTGTCAACCCCCTCCGGAGAAAGTCATTAAAAACACACACACAATTTCCTCCAGACGGATTTGAAGGCACATAAATGCAGACATAAATAAACCCATCCAAACTAAACAACTCTACAGCCAAAGGAAACAACTCAAAATAGAGGGGAAAAACAACTGAAAACAAAAAAAAAACAAAATAATGACTGCTTTGCAGAGCACAATTGCAACCCTCATCCTCTTGGCCCAAAATAATCATTTTTAAAGTTCAGGTTATGACTCAGCCTGGCCAAGGACTAGCTTTGTACAGCCTAGCTAAAATAAAAGCACTCTGCATATGTTTAGAAGAGAGTCTGTAGCAGGGGTGAAATCCAGCAGGTTCGGACAGGTTCTGGAGAACCGGTAGCGGAAATTTTGAGCAGTTCGGAGAACCGGCAAATACCACCTCGGCTGGCCCAGGAGTGGGGAAGGAATGGGGATTTTGCAGTATCCTTCCCCTGCCACACCCACCAAGCCACGCCCCACCAAGCCACACCTACAGAACTGGTAGTAAAAAAAAAATGGATTTCACCACTGGTCTGTAGGGTTTATATCAGAGGGTTTCAACCCCTGGCAACTTTAAAATGGGTGGACGTCAACTCCCCAAATTCCCCAGCCAACAAACCCTGCCTGAAACATTAGGAGGGTGGATCATTTTTTGTGGAGAACTTTCTCTAATATCTAACCAGTTAGTTAACAAGTCTGGAAATGTCTTCTTCCTTCCTTCTTCCTCCCTCCTCCCTCCTTCCCCTCCCCTCCCTTCCTCTCTCCCTCCCTCCCATCCCATCCCCTCTCCCTTTCCTTCCTTCCTTCCTTCCTCTCTCCCTCCCCTCCTCCCCTCCCTCCCTCCCCTCCCTTCCTTCCTTCCTTCCTTCCTTCCTTCCTTCCTTCCTTCCTTCCTTCCTTCCTTCGGGCATTGAAGTCCACCCATCTTAAAGTTACCAAAGTTGAAAAACACTGCTTTGTATTAAAGAGGAATTATTTTTTCCCATATTTCAACCACCGTAGCCCTATCAAAACCCAGACCAACCTACTCGAAGGAACCCTTTGAACCGTAAAGTCTCTTCAATAAATATCCAACTCTCTTCTTGGTTAGGAGTGGCCCCTTTTACATCCGTAGGCTTGGACCTCTCCACCCTCTGCGTGGAAACCACCTCCACATCACCACCTATTTCTTGCTGAGAAAAGCCACAGCTGAATGAGAAGCAGAGGAGAGGAGAGGAGAGTCCTAAGTGCTCTTTTGGCTGCTAACGCTCCCTCCAGCTTCCTGGCCCAATCTCTCAAAGACCATCACACGCCATTATCGTTCGTCGGCACATCCATTCCTCCCTCTCAGCATCTTCTCTTCTCCCTTCCCAGCGGAGTGGAGTTTTCCTCTTACCTTTCAGGCAGGAGATGTTAAGTCCCATGGTTTCATCCTTTTAACCAGGGGGGCAAGTCAGAGGCCGAAAGATCCGCCACCGCGGCTTAGCTTCATGAAGGCTGGGGGGAAAAAGGGAGATGTGGGATTGTTGAAGCTTGGAAACAGACACAACTTCGCAGTACAGCTTTCAAAACAACTCCCCGTCTCAAGGCCCTGTGTAAACTCAGCTGCCATGAAAAAGAACAGAACAAAAACAAATCCTGCCTAAAACATTCGGAGGCCAACTCTTCTTTTGTTAAAACCTTTCTCCAATCTTTAACCAGTTAGTTAACCAAGTCTGAAAGAGTCCAATACAAGAGAGTTTTTCCTTCCTTCCTTCCTTCCTTCCTTCCTTCCTTCCTTCCTTCCTTCCAGCAGTTAGTTAACAAAATCTGGAAGGGTCCAATACAAGAGAGTTTTTCCTTCCTTCCTTCTTCCTTCTTCCTTCCTTCCTTCCTTCCTTCCTTCCTTCCTTCCTTCCTTCCTTACTTCCTTTCTTCCAGCAGTTAGTTAACCAAATCTGGGAAGGGTCCAATACAAGAGAGTTTTTCCTTCCTTCCTTCCTTCCTTTCTTCCTTCCTTCCTTCCTTCCTTCCTTCCTTCCTTCCTTCCTTCCTTCCTTCCTTCCCTCCCTCAAGCCTCTCCTCTCTCACACTCACCCAGGGGAGAATTCTACAGAAAAGAGGGAGGCTGCCAGGATCTCTCAAAAATGCTGTAGGATGCATTGTTAATTATACCAGATGAGACCTATGGGTTAGGGCATTGGGTCTCGGTGTGTCATGTAACACAGGAATTTTCCATTTCTTTTTACGGCAAAAGCACCTGTTGGTATCCCTCATCTGGAGGCAAAGGTCCTGGGAGGGAGAGCTCGCTGGGTGTCAATGAAGCACCTGCAGCTTCCCGTGGGAGCCATCCAGCTGTTGAAGAGCCTGTGTTTTAATGTGTAGGGTGGAATCCACTGAGGCAGGAGCCACATTCAGACATAGCTTCAATTGTTGCTCCACCACCAAGCTGCCAGCTTATCTCGAGCACACTGCTGCGGGCATAACAAGAGCCCAGCAGAAAATGTTTCCCTGACTGTCACTTTCCTTGGATGGGGAAGCAATTGGACCTATCAATGCAGAAAAGAGGGCAATTTCATCAGGCTTCAATTTAATCATTAACTTCTGATCAGCTCCTGAAACCCAGCGGGGCTATTGCCGCCAGCTGCTATAAAAAGCCAATTTCCAGGCGTGACATGACTCGGAGATTCCATCGGCGGTCGGTTGGGATCCCGGGGAAGGAATCTAGCTCTTCAATGCTTCCCTGGTCTCGGTTTAAAGGAAAGATTCCAAGATATGCCAGCCATTCAGCAGAAGGCGATTGAGGAGGGGAATGGGAGAACATTTATTGGTGGGTGAGAAAGTCGAGGACCTTGCCAGAAATGTCAAGGAGCGCCACACAGCTCAAAGAACAGCCCTGCAGATGTTTCAGAGGCCCCAATTTTGCATCAAATAGAGCAATCCTCCGATGCTGTTCTCTCAGGCTGTCTGAGGTTTCAGAAGAGGGAGAAAATTCAACAGGAAGGGCCTCGCCAGATGTTGATTTGGCTGAGTTCCTGTTTAATCAGGAGTGTGGAATATCTGATTTGAGGGCTTCATGCAGCATCCTTTCTGGAACCTCCACTTTTTTCAAGCCCCCAAATTTAGGGGTGGGGGTTGGCACTGGGCTGGAAAAGGAGTTGAGGGGCAAAATGACTCCCTTACATTTTGTAGAGGCATAAAATATCACTTTTTCCAACGTTAAAAACCCCTGAAGCTCCTTTCAAAATGGGCTTTGTCCAGGGGTGAAATGCTCCTGGATCGGACCGGATCGCGTGATCCGGTAGCGATTTTTTTTCCTGTGGTTCGGCGATCCGGTAGCGTTCACCGCCCGGGTGTCATTACTACCTGGTTTTAACCAGGAAGTAATGTTTTTTTTACCTTCTATGCATTTGCTTCTGAACCAGTAAGGAAGGTAAGTAGATTTCACCCCTGGCTTTGCCCCCATCTAATTTGGAAATGTAACATTGTCCCCCCACCCAATGTCCCACGGACCCTGGAGTACCTGTGAGCAGGTAGAAATGGTGGTCACCTTGAGTTAGGCAACAAGGACCTTTTGGGGAAGGGAGGGAATGGGGGGCAGCTTAACTCCATATCTCTAGATACTGAATGGCTTTGTTTTTTAAAGAATTTAACTTTTGCACCTAGACAAAAATGCTAATTTAAAACAGGATAAAAAAACCCCCATCTCGGCTTGCTTGTGTAAAATTTGTTTTCATCCCTTCCTGAGAATTGAACAAATGTGCAGGCTCAGGTTTGAAAAGGCATTTCAACAATTGGATGACAAGAAAAGTTCCCTCCCTCCCGAAGGATTTGATGTTCCCACTTCTTCACACAATGTTTGCCTGAAACAGAATCTGGGTATTATTTATAGCGGGCACGATGGCTCTGCCAGGAGAGTGGAAGAAATTGCAAATGGAAAGTGCAAACAGTCAGTGTATACCCACCAACAATACGGAACCAGATGTTGCTGAACATCCCAATGGCCCCCACCAGCCTGGCAGGTGATGAATTTCAGCAACAGCTGGGAAGTTTCATGTTTCTTTCTCTTGATATAGACCAGGCAAATGAGCTATATAAGGGGGGGGGGAGAAACCACTTGTTTGCAGCTGAAAATCACAGGGTATGTGATTACCCTGGTTAGTGTATTAAGAGTACCAATAGAAGAGAATATTTGTAGCTCAAGGTTGAAATGAGAGGGTCCTTGGTGGTCTCTGAGCGTGATTGTTTTCTTGCAGCCCTTTCATTATCCAAACTAGATAATGTCATAAGTGCTAGAAGACAGTGGAATTTGCAGGGAGGAGGAGGAGGAGGAGGAGGAAGAGGAGAAGGAGGACTGTGGGATCCTTGGTGCTTTCTGAGTTTGGCGCTTTTCTTGCAGCCCTTTCATTATCCAAACTAGATAATGTCATCAGTGCTAGAAGACAGCGGAATTTGCAGGGAGGAGGAGGAGGAGGAGGAGGTGGTGGTGGAGGAGGAGGAGGAGGAGGAGGAAGGCCCTTGGTGCTCTCTGAACTTGGTAGTTTCTTTGCAGACATTTCATTACTCAAACTAGGTAACAAAATCAGTGCTAGAAGAGAATGGGGGATGTTGGGAGGAGGAGGAGGAGGAGGAGGAGGAGGAGGAGGAGGAGGAAGAGGAAGAGGAAGAGGAAGAGGAAGAGGAAGAGGAAGAGGAGAAGGAGGACTGTGGGATCCTTGGTACTTTCTGAGTTTGGCGCTTTTCTTGCAGACATTTCATGACCCAACTAGAGAACATCTAGCTAGCACTAAGGACTTCACAGAAAGAGAAACCCAGATAAACATGGATTAACACCAGACAAACAATCAAGCAGAAAACAATACCCTAATCAAGAAACTACTAAGAAAAAAAACACATTCCCACGAATACTGACAATGGTGGGTTTCAATTTTTTTTACTATTGGTTCTGTGGGTGTGGCTTGGTGGGTGTGGCATGGCTTGGTGGGCGTGGCTTGGTGGGCATGGCAGGGGAAGGATACTGTAAAATCACCATTCCCACCCCACTCCAGGGAAAGGATACTGTAAAATCTCCATTCCCTCCCCACTCCAGGGGAAGGTTACTGCAAAATTCCCATTTCCTCCAGATCAGCTGGGATTTGGGAGGCAGAGAATAGATGGGGGCGGGGCCAGTCAGAATTTTTACTACCGGTTCTCCGAACTACTCAAAATTTCCGCTACCGGTTCTTCAGAACTGGTCAGAACCTGCTGAAACCCACCTTTGCTGATAGAGCAAGCCCCTTGCATATAAACAGAGAGACAAGCCCCACTCCCTTGGGGCACTGATGGTGTTACTAAGTTGGGTAATGAAACATCTGCAAAAAAACAAGCTCAGTGAGCACCGAGCACCCCACAGTATCACTAGCATTGAGGTTGGGATTCCTTGTTCAAAGACGTTTGTTTTTAGACACTGTTGGAATACAAGGTTCACCAACTTGCAAGCAAAGCTGGGGAATTTATCACTGGCTCAACTTCACCAACATTTCAGCTTCTAGCACGACCACTATAAGTTGTGACAAAGCTAGAAAATCAAAGATTGTGCCTCCAAAATAGCCATTACCAGTGACTGGATCCATCCCAGGTACCAAAGCATCTTTTCTGTGGCTGTACATGTTATTTTAACCCATCTCCTGGGGTCTGTAACCCATGATTTACGGCTTTGTATGTTATATGATCCTACTTATCTGTGGTTTATTCCACAAGCTCCAGTTGAACAAAATGTGGCTTATTTTAGGAGAGTGAACAAGGCCAATGATTAAATGTCTAGAGATGCCAAGGAGTATCCAAGTACAATTGGAAAAAATCTCACTGAATTTTAGAAAGATAGCAGAGGGCACAGTTCCAGGAGAAGAAATTGGATTCATATTTGGTGCTCAGTTGTGAGCGGAGAGACGAAGAAAATTGGACTCATTCTCCCGGCTGAGCAGAGAAAAACGGATGTTAATACATCCAGAGGACACCACAATCTTTGCACAATCTGACTTTTTAAGTCCCCCCCTCCCAATTATTAAGTTCCAGAGATGCTCTCTCCATCCCTCTGCAGGGATTTCTTAAGATAGGTGTCCTCCTAGTTCAGGGGTGTCCACTTCGGGGAACTTGAAGACCTGTGGACTTCAACTCCCAGAATACCCCAGCCAATATGGCTAACTAGGGAATTCTGGGAGATGAAGTCCACACATCTGGGTTTCCCCCTCCTTCTGGGAGCTGAAATCCACAAATCTTAAAAGTTGCCAAGGTTGGATACCTTGTTCTTATTGGTCCAGCTTACGACGGCTGCCTATTAGTGCCCCAAATGGAGCCAACTCCCTTCCTTTCAATGACCACAAGAGGAAGGAAAGTGTAGAGATACGGTTTCCGAAGAAAGCAGAACTGGAGGCGTCCACCTGGCTGAGCACACCCTTCCTGGATCGAAATCCACAATCACTGAGGTGGAAAACACCTTTCGCCTACTCCCCACGCAAGACAGCAAATCGTTTCTTGGCAATGGTCTAGCAAACCACGGGAAATCATCAATGCTCATCAAAATCGCCGCATCGATTCGTAAGAGAGTCGGAGTCGGAGACCACAAGTGGGGTTTGCCCACAGCCCTCCGGAGATTGCTGGACTACAATCCCCAGCATCCCCAGCCCCGCAGAGCCAGGGTAACAAATGCTAGGACCCCCACCCTTAGGGTTCAACAACCTTGGAAAGAGGCAGAGGAGTGAAGCGCGGCCCCCTTCCACCGCTCCGGGTCCTTCTCTTGCCAAAAGAGGGGAAAAGTTCTGAAAAGTTAGGGAGGTGCGGCCACCTACACCCCCGACCCACTTGATCGTGGGGTAACCTTCCCTCCGCGATTCAGCTGAAGACGGAGCAACAGCTGGAGGGTGCCGGAAAGGAAGCGCCTTCAGGGGTGCCAACTTTTGTGACTCACCCAGATGTTCGGATCCTTTGCCCTCACCTCTGCTGGGATGTCGGGGGAGGGGGGCCTGGTCCCGGCCTGGGGAGGGGGGTTTGTAACCCCCACGAATGATTTGGGGCCCCCACGATGGTTTAGAAGCCTCCTGCCACACCTTCCCCTCCCTCCCACTCGGGAGCCCCGCCTGTACCCCGATCCCCGCAATTCCCAGGGGAGAGCTCGGCCGGGGGAGCAGTCGGGCCAGCCGGGAAAAGGCGGAGAGGGGCGCGCGGGGCAGGGAGAAGTGGAGAGGGGGACGATGCATGCAGCGTGCAGCACGGAGCATGCAACATGCAACATGCAGCACGCACGCCCCCTCCCCCCGCCCCCCGGCCCGGTGCAGCGCAGGCAAAGGGAGCCCCGACCACCCCTTCCTTTCCCCCCGCCCCAAGGTAGGTCCGGGCCGGACAGAGCCGAGCCACTCACCCGCTCGCGCGAACTCCAGCCGCTGACATCGCCGCGCGCCCAGCGCAGCAGCGGCGGCGGTAGCAGCCCGGGAGGCAGGGCCAGGGCGATTTGCATACACGCGATCGGGGGGGGGGGGGGGGGACAGGGAGGGGAGGGGGTGGGCCATCTCCGTGGACAGGCGTGCCCCGCTCCCACCCACCCCCCTCGTGGGCCGCAGGAGAGCCGAGGGAGGGTCGGGCGTTGCTGCTGCTGCATCTCGCTTCTGGCCCCGGTTTGGGGCTGCGGCTGGGGTAGGGGGGGGGAGCTGGCGAGGTTCCCGGGGCAAATGTGGGTGGGTGGGGGAATGCTGCGTTCCTGGGGGGATGGGGAAGGGGCGGGGGCAGTCAGAAAGCCAGGGCGGGGGAGCGCTGCAGATTTTCCTGCTGCAATAAGAAGCGACGGCCGGGTTTTCCACCCGCAGATGGGATACCGTAATAAAGGGAGACCCTCAGATTAGGGGGTCCTGCTGGGGCCGACCGGAATTTGGGGATGGGGGGAAATCAAGACCACCCCTGTCCTCTGCACGCGCGCCGCTCCCCTCCCCGCCGCTCCACGCTTCATCCCTTCGCCTCCCTCCTTCCCCCTGGGCGAGAGGCGCATCCTCAAGGAAGCGAAGCCCCCCTCGGCCAACACCCTTTGGGGGGGTTCGCGCAAAGAGCCAGGAGCTGCGAGGGACCGGCGCTTTCCCATAATGCGGAAACTAAAGCGGAATCTACTCATAGGGCTGGTGCGAGCCCCTCACACGCTCCCAAGTTTGGGTTGCAAGCTCCTTTCCACCTCCCAGGACGAGAGAGAGAGAGGGAGGGGTGTGTGTGTGTGTGAAGGGAACTTTCCTGAAGCTATGAAAGATGAACAAAGACCCTCCCCCACCCCCCCCACCCCCAGCAGATGTGTGCCAGAAGCCTGCAGGAGACCTGCCCTCTCAGGCTGCATCTTGGTGGCATGCCAGCTTGGGCGGCTGCTGTCTGCAGGAACGGAGGCTCCGCAAGGAAAGGTTTAAAGCAGGGGTGCCCAACCTTGCCCCTTTAAGACTTGTGGACTCCGACTCCCAGAATCCCCCAGCACAGCAGGCAACAATAGGTGCCCGTGATGTCAGAAATAGATTAGAATTCTTTATTGGCCAAGTGTGATTGGACACACAAGGAATTTGTCTTTGGTGCATACGCTCTCAGTGTACATAAAAGAAAAGATCAAGAATCATAAGGTACAACACTTAATGATAGTCAGAGGGAAACATCAATATAAATCTTTAAGGACTGAATTGATTTCAGCACAAAAGGAGATCCTTGCCCATCCCCCACCTGGTCAGAGTGAAGGAGCAGAAAGGTAAAGAATAAAATAAAAGCTCCTCTCAAAAGCTCCCTCTGAGATGTTCCAGAGCCAGAGGCACCCATGGCTGCTCTTGGACATCACATGGCTGTTCGTTCAACCAGGATCTGTGGAATCACCCACAACTTGATGTGGCCACCCACAATTTACAATCCCGAGTTCTGCTGGTCGTGTTAAGCCAGCAACAACCGATCCCCGTGGCGTTTTTTGTGCCATGAGTGACCCATCAGCCAATCATATGTCGAACAATGTGAAGAAAAAAAAAATCTACAACAGCATTGGGGAAGCAAATTTGTAGTTCCCATTTTTAGGAGCTCAGACTGGAGGCAAAAAAAAAAAAAAAAAAGCTTTTCGGCCAGTTGTTTCTATAACTCCAGATACATAAAAACTCACACCACATATCCCCAAGTTTTTTTTTTTTAAGAGAGCAAGAAGGTTCACTGAGAATCACATCCAGCTCTGAACTTGCAATCCATCATCAGCCTAGATCTGCAAAGGAACTGCAGACCAGGCACCACGCACGATAAGGACGCTTGTGTGATGTTCCCAACGGGGATGCTTAGCCCACCAATGAAATCTGTCAATCCAGAACAGTCTGAAGGACGAGCTTGGAGTGATGGACTCCCAGAATATTTATGACCAATCTTTTAAGGCGACACCCAAAGAGCTTCTCTGAAAAGGAATCCCGCCTCTCTTCTCTTCCTAGGACTAAGAGTAAGTGTGTACAGCTCTCCGAAGTGTGTGCGATCAAGCATACGTGCTCCCTAAAATTTGACTGTCCCTTGCGTGCAGACTTAATCAGGCCGAAGTTTAAACCAGTGGCAAGCTGTGGGACTGTCTCAAGGAGAGGCACTTGAATTTGTCATGGTATCGAGATGCTGTTCCGAGTTAGCCTCTCTGTCGAATAGGATGCCCACTGCAGATATGAAATCCAGCCGAGAATGAGACATGGCTGCCCAAATAAATTACACATTATGATCATAGGCCTTTGAAACACATTCTTCCATATAATTCCACCTCTGTGTTTCCACCTTCTGGTACCTGGGTTTGAAGTATTCGCTCCTCTATTAGTTGTTCCAATTTGAAGAGTTTATAACCAGACATACGAATAAAGATTGAGAAATGCTTTCAGAGGTTTTATTTTCTAGCCGAAGATCACGCTAAAGCAAAGCGGAGATGTTTTTCGGTTGGCAATACACCCCATAAAATTTTCCACATACCCTCAGAGACACCCATCCATCATTCGGCGTTGCCAAAGGTCTTTAGATCATTATAGAGAAAGCAGGGAAGCTCGGCCAGCTATCTTAAGGGTCAGGTTTTAGGCAATTCAAACACTCTTTCCAGAGAGTACAGATTTTAAAAGCAGCCACTGCACGTAAGGCTACATTTAATCACACAACCCTCCTCTGCTTTCCAACACATCCTGAACCTCCATCTCAACAGCCAGGAAGATCCTTCCCTGCCCTGCAATGCTCTGTTAAGGACAACTTTAGCCTAACAAAACAGAATCATATCACATCATCTTACAAAACGAGGCTTGTTTCATCAGCTTTATTTTCAAGGGGATGAAGGAAATAAAGCAACATAAAAGCCCAGTTACTTTTTGAGATATCGAATATGCCATAAATAAAAGGTTGCATTAATACAGGATCAGTCGGGCGGGAGGGGAAGAAACAAAAAAATAAAAAAATAAAAATAAAAAAAAATCAGACATGTAAAAACAACACAAGGTAGATGCAGCCATCCGTGCTAGAAGTTATCCTTTTAAAAAAAGAAAAGAAAAAAAAATCCCAAGGTAACACAGGGTTGTATTGTTTTAAAGACTCTTTTACATTTTACATCACAAAACCATTATATTACAAGCCGGATCCAAACAGCTCAACAGGCAACCCAACTGCTAAGACGCCATAACATTTGCTTGCAAGGAAAAAGCATGAAAAATGAACAGGAAGGCAAGTGCTGAACGACCAACAGTTGTGCTCTTCAACGCTTACTCTCACTAGACAGGCCACAGGAGATGCGTCCAGCAATGTGCGGGCGTGCTATGGAAGGTAGGGGGACCAGGTTTTCCAGAGCAAAACATTTGGAGTGCACTGATTTTAAAGGGAGTTGCACATTCTTCTCCCCTTGGTGTGCAAAGATTAAAAGTTTGCACTGAATTGTAACAGGAGATTCTTTCCGGACTTGGAAAAATCTGGTCTATGAAAACCTGAATAACTAATCAGAACTTGGAGGCCCAGAACAGAATTGGCAAATCAGAGGAGTGTGTTGCAAAAGCACAACTCACAGCTGCCCTGAAGGGGCAACACAAAGGGGGAGTACTGAGTTAGAGGCTACCTCCATCAAAAATGGTTCAGGAATTGAAATCTTCCTCTGTTTGTGCAATTAAACATCAAAGAATTTACATTTTTTCCCCCAGATGCAAGAATAAAGAGAATGAGTTTGCTTTTTGTGAACAAAAACATGTATTTATAATTCTCTTGGCTGTTTGGTCTATTCCATTTATACTGAATTCAAGGAAGGGGAATTCTGTTCTGTTCAAGAGGAACCCAAACAGACTCTTAACACTCAAAACTGGAGAGTCAGAAAAATTGCAACATTCCCAGAATAAGTAAAGAAACTTGGCAGCCTCTGGGGAGTTACCTCAAGTTGTTTTCTCCCTGCATAATATATCCGTCCACTGCGCAACCATGTCCAGAAATCAGCCCTTGGAATAAGAGCTTCCAAAACTGACCTGACCATGTAAAGTTCAATTGTTTATTTAGATGCAGCTTCTTTAAAAATAAAACTAGCTGTTAGCTCTCTGAGATATTTCATAAATCTTTTTTTTTTTAGAAAATCTGTCTCTAAAGGATATGAAAAGTTAAGTCAAAACTTTTTAATACGAACGATTTGGAACAAGTAGACTCTAGTTGGAGAGTAACAAGAATGCATCAGCAGGAGGACAAAAGGGCGATGGACAGAAAAGGCTTCCAAGTATGGTGGATGTCCCAAAGATTCTCATTAAAAAGACTTGACTGCATGGCAACACATCCTTGTCTAAGGGAGGGGCCTCACTCACCTGACACCTGAAAATTAATGCTCTTTTTTTGCTTTCTTCGGCACAGTGAAAATCCCCAGCAGGTCAAGTCGGTGGGAATCTCCTTAGCAGAGATGCAAAACGGCCTTGTTAATCTCGGGGTTTGTCCAGTCATTCCGAATGTCATCTAAGTGGTTATCGAAATCCACCAGGGTTTCATAGGACCGGCTGTCCAAAAGGGATTCGGAGATCCTTTGGGCTTCTGTCCAATCTTCGCAATAATCACTAGCATGGGAGAGAAGGGAGAAATAAAAGATGAGCGACCCCCGTTCGAAGGAACAACGGGGTGCTGGAATGAGTGACTGATGACCAGTCCTCACATTTACAACGGTTACTGCATCCTGGGGTCATGTGATTGCCACTGGCAGCTTTCAACAAGTGAAGTGAATGGGGGAAGACGGATCTGTTTTAACCACCAGGTGATCTGCTTAACGATCACAGCAAACAGGGCTTGTAAAACAGCCACGACTCCCTTAGTGACTGCCTCGCTTAGCGATGGAAGTTCCAGTCACAACTGTGGTCGTTTTTAACTTTCATCCTTTCGTTTTGTACTTTTTGAATAGGAAGGGAAGGAGCAAGTAAAAGAAGCGCGAAAGGTGTCCATTTTCAGACGGGAAAGTTTATTTTAAGAATACTCACACGTGTGGGTCTCTGCATCGCCATTTGTTTTCGTGGTGTTCGTACACATGAACTGCTGGTTTTAGGCACTTCATAGTAAATCTAGTGTTATCTACCTGAAGCAGAACAGAAAAACATGGCTGTACTTGTGCTATACCAAGACATTAAAATGGAATATGTCAACACTAAAGCATGTCGCTTATTGCTATTCAGGGATCTGTAAGTGTAACATGAGGTTAATATATAGGAGGGCGGCGGCTTGCTGCCATTTCCAAAATGATTCTCAGGACAGGCTGTCCACTCTCAACATAAATGACCATCTTACATCAAAAGAGTATGAAATAAATAAGAGACTTTAATTGCTCTGAATTGCTTCAATATAGATTGCTCGTTTGAAAGTAAAAATCCTTGGTAGAAATCTCAGGTTATCAATTTTAATTTTTATCCTAATACATATTATAAGATTATAAGATTTGTGCCCGGTATTTATGGTTGCCAGTCCCCTCTGTTGTTAGATAACTCTTGAAGCAAGTCAACTAATGGAATTGACCGTGAGATAAATATTAAAGAAAGAAAACGCATACCTACCATTATGAGGGCTGTATCATTGAAGTTTTCTGCAATCCTGGAGGCGACTTTTTCGGCAAGCAGGTTTGGACTACAAAATAAAGAGAAGAAAATTTGATCAGATTGAGAGTAACAAGCCAAGTAAAGGATGGCTTCCGTTAAAGCTGAAGGAAGAAATAATTTCAGAGATAAAATTGATCTCGATAGCAGATACAAATAATTCTCAACCCAAACTAAAAACAGCGCCAAACGATTTTCTACTGGCTCCTCTTACTGTTCTTTAGAGTAGGGGGTCTCCAAACTTGGCACCTTTAAGGCTTGTGGACTTCAACTCCCAGAATTCCTCAGAGAATTCTTCCTGGAGAATTCTGGGAGTTGAAGGCCACAAGTCTTTAAGTTATCAAATTTGGAGAACTCTGCTTTAGAGCCCTAAGGCAGTTTCTTCAACTGCTTCACTGCTGTAACACAAAGCATGGACAACTCTGAAGAAACTGGGAAGGATTGTCCTGCAAAAGATGAATTAAGTCAAGGATAAGGAAGACAAACCCAGCTACACACCTGGCATCCTTCACACGTTCATTTGCTTGGTAGTAGCCAGCTATTACGTAGCTGTTCTCTCGGCACCAAGAATCAATCTGAAAAGGTCATTAAAAAAAAAAAATAAGCACCCAAAGCCAATCAAGGCAGAGATGAAAATAATAGATGTTTGCAGCAAACAATTTTATTCAAATTGCAACCCGATATGTTTTCTTGAGCGTTATTTGACCCTGGCATATCGTTTGACACCCATTAAGAGAACGTGCTGAAAGCTGCTGGAACAAAGGAGATGATGATATAACTGGCAATTGGCTTTCACCTGCCAGATATCTGAAAAGGTGTGGTCTGTATACCAAACATGCTTGTTAAGCTTCTTACGCAGGACTTGGAAGTTTGTGACAAATTCTATTACGACCCTTGTTTTGTTAATGATAAATAGCTACCGCAATGGACAAAAGCGTTTTCTGAATTAGCAGATCTAAAGAAGCGCATAGTGTACTGAAAGGTGCAACGAACGTGGGATTTTGATGTTCCCAAGAATGCCATAGGATGTCAATTGTCCTCTGTTTGCCGTCTTGCTATCAGTGGAGTGGATAAGAGAGATCTGGGGTCAAATAGGATGTCTGCCAGGATATGTCCATTCATTTTTGCTCACAGAGTCTTAGTAAAATGCCATCTGTAAAATGCCCCGTGATCCCAGAATTCTTGGAATGGACGTTCACAAGTCTTAAAGTGGCCAAGTATGGAGACCCCTGAGTCTTTTTCTTAGCCATCCTCAGTTCTCTGTGGCTGGCTTAGGGACTATGAGTACGCAATTCAAAAATGCAATAAAAGCAACACGCAGGGGAAGAGAAACCTCGTTTTTCAATGGGGTCTTGATGCTCTCTGAGCTTTGGTGGTTTTCTTGGCACTGTGCACTGATGATGTTACCTAGTTAGGTCATGAAACGTCTGCCAAAAAAACCCACCAAGCTCGGAAAGCACCATGGACACCCTGTCCAATTCAACCCTGAGCTACAAATGTTCTCGTCTATTGGCACCTTCTTCTTCAACCTCTGATGATTTCCATGCAAAATGAAAGGAAAAGCTAATCCAAGGGAGGAAAGGAACAAGACAAAGAGAAAAGAGACAGATGGCCCGAACAAGAACAAAGGAATTCTCCCCCTCCCCTTCCGTCTGTAATTCCTCCAACGATACTGAGAGGTGGGTCAGCACAGGCTGAACTTTGGGGGGAGGAGAATAAAGCAGTTTATTAATTCCATCCTGAGTGGCCCACATCCAAAACAGATGACAGCCAGGACTGCAGGCTTTAAGGAAGCCCTGACAGCTAAGATCTGGCGATAAGGCTCAAATAACGTCTCCTTCCTCCCAGAAGGCACTTTAATTACGGTCAGCCTTTGCATAAAAGTCTTTATTTTATCATAATGCACCGTATTATCTAATCTGCCATAAAGCTTTATTAAAATACTTAGAAAAAATTAAACGTTAGGAGGCCCAATCTGATCTGAATGCATTTATCCTAACTCAGATTCTGGCCCTGCTTGGTGGCTTTGAAGCTTCCAACATTTGCTTCCCGTAATGAGATTATCTGATTAAAATAATCCAGTGATTTAGGGAAACGGAAAAACTACCCAGCAATTATGTATATTCCTGCTATATATATTTTTTTTAAAAGGGGGAAAAAAACGGTTTCCCAAACATTTTGCATTCTGACCTTCTGTTTCCCAAACACATCTATCTCATTGTTTAGCAGCTGTGTTTCTAGCCCCAAATTAAACTGTCCAAGAGCTCTGCAAATAATCTTTTCCATTGAAATGATGTGGGTGCGTTTTGTTAAGCTCTCGTTTATTATCACTGGTAAAGAGCCACCTGCCGTCATAATCATAACCATTTAAAAGGCCTTAAAATTGTTGTCTGACTAGCCAGCAGGTTGAGATCTTGCAAGTCAAAACTAAACAAACAGAAAATGTTTTCATACTAATATTCTTCTATTGCTCTTTGGTTTATACAGGGGGTCCTTGACTTAGAACAATTGATTTAGTGACCCTTCAAATTTACAACAGCATTGAAAAAGTGACTTGTAACCGTTTTTCACACTTATGACCATTGTAGCAACATGATTAAAATTCAAGAGGCTTGGCAACTGACTCATATTTATGACGGCTGCAGTGTCCCAGGGTCACGTGACCCCTTTTTTTACGACCGTCTGACGAGCAAAGTCGATGGGGAAGCCAGATTCACTTAACCACCATGTTATTTTAACACCTGCGGTGATTCACTTAACACCTGGGTCCAGAAAGGTTGTCAAATTGGGACAAAACTCACTTAACAAATGTCTCACTTAGCAACAGAAACTTTGGGCTCAATTGTGGTCATAGACCAAGGACTACCTGTACTGTTTTCATAGCTAGGACTCATTTCACATTTCTGGTTCACATTACTGGGCCAGACTGCAAGCTGTGTAAGATTTTGTTAGACAGCATTCAGCCCTTGATGGAAAACTACCCGTTCTCCACCTTTCACCTGCTAAATTACTCTTCTCCGTTGAGTTACTGTCTTATGCTTTGTGAGCTTGGCCAGATGGGTAGCCAAGCCTGGCAGGATAGCCAGGTCAATCATAACTTTTCACTTCTCATTATTTCTACTGGCCATCTGCAAATCAAGCTGTCAAATATAATTACTCCGAGGGAACAGCAGCGACAAAAAGTTCCCCAAAGATAGATCAGCGTCTTGACCTCCTAAGACATGAGGCACTATCTCTAATTAAGTCTTCTCAATCTGTCCTAAGTCTCCCTCAGCAAGTCACCCTCATTTACTAATTGATTCGGCTCTCACCGTTTCCAGTTCAGCTGGAAACACACAAATTCAATTGCTTGAATTCGTTGGCATGCAGACTCACAACTGTCCAGGTTCTACAGCAGCTGTATTTTCAATCCCACCAGGTACAAATGCAAGCCTAATTTTGCGGGTATTTTCACGTAAGACTTTGCCTGGCAAAATAACGCCGGAAAGCTTGGTGATAAAACTACAGTGTTTAATAGGTAGGAAGGTGTTTGCTGGCATTTTTTGGTCTTCAGCGAGACTTTTCAGATCCAGGCACAAAATGTCATTTTCCAAATATTTCTATCTACAGCTAACATACGAAGCCCAGAAGTATCTCGCAAATCTCCCTTTTGTAAAGCCCATGGGGTTTGGCCAAGACAGCAGTGTCCTGGAGGCATGCAATCCCCTTTTGCGACCTTCTGGCAAGCAAAATCCATTGGGGAGGGGGGGGGAAGCCAGATTCACTTAACAACTGGGTGACTAATTTAACAATGGCAGTCACTTAACGACTGCGGCGGGAAACATCGTATAAGGGGACAAAACTCACTTAACCAATGTCTCATTTAACGACATACATTTTGGGCTCAATTGTGATGGTAAGTTGAGGAGTAGCCGGTATTTTCTTTGGTGGGGGGGATAGACTGCTCCCGTTGGAGGAGGCTCCTGCTCCACGCCCCCCAAGCCAAGGGGCCCCTCATTAACTTTTAGAATAACTTTATTGTCACTTTAAATGTACACGAATCGGCATACATTAAATGAAATTTCGTTGCATGGCAGCTCTCCAAGGGTCACCACCTCCAATATGCACAACATGAACATGACAAAAATATAAATAAGACAGCTAGATAAATAGATAGATAATAGAGATGATATAGAGATGATATAGAGATGATAGATATTATAGATGACAGATATATAGATGAGGGATAGAGATGATAGACGATACAGATGATATAGATATATGTAGATAGATGATATAAATATAGTTAAATGATATAGATACTTTTGCCCCAAAATAAGACATCCCCTGATAATAAGCCCAATCGGGCTTTTGAACGCATGGCAATAAGGCCAAGTGCTTATTTCAGGGTTCAAAAAAAAATATAAGACAGGGTCTTATTTTCAGGGAAACACAGTAGATGATATTGAGATATAGATGAGAGATGATATAGAGATGATAGAAAGATAGATGATGGATATATGATATAGATGAGTGGTCACCAACTGGTGGTCCCCAGAAAAATTATTTGCATTTTTATATCACTAAATACTATTTATCTTTTTAAAAAAGATTCATATTAGTGGTCCGTGGGATTTAAAATTATAAATTTAGTGGTCCCTGAGGTCTGAAAGGTTGGTGACCCCTGATATAGATGATATAGATAGATAGACAGACAGATAGATAGATAGGTATAGATAGATGAGAGAGATATAGAGATGGTGATAATGATATATATTGATAGATAGATAAGATAGATAGAGCCTGTAGTACAGTGGACTAAAGCACTGTAATTAACATCTGCTGCCTGCAATTACTGCAGGTTCGAATCTCACCAGGCTCAAGGTTGACTCAGCCTTTCATCCTTTCTAAGGTAGGTGAAATGAGGACCCAGTTTGTGGGGGAAATAAGCTGACTTTGTATAAAACATACAAAAGAATGAAGGCTATTGCTTAACGCATTCTAAGCCGCCCTGAGTCTCCGGAGAAGGGCGGCATATAAATTAAAGCAAAAAAAAAAAAAAAAGATAGATAGGTAGGTATAGATAGATGATATATATATAGATATAGATGATAGATAGATAGATAGATAGGTATAGATAGATGAGAAAGATATAGAGATGGTGATAATGATATATAGATAGATAGATAGATAGATAGATAGATAGATAGATAGATAGATAAATAGATAGATGGATGATAGAGATAGAGAGATGATGATAGATAGATAGATGATAGAGAGAGAGAGGATAAAGAGATAGAGAGATGATAGATAGAAACTAGATAGATAGATGATAGATATAGATAGATAGATAGATAGATATAGATAGATAGATAGATAGATGATAGAGGTAGGTAGGTAGATAGATGATAGAGAGATGATAGAGAGGGACGATAGATAGATAGATAGAGAGAGAGAGATATATATAGATGATAGAGAGAGAGGATAAAGAGATAGAGAGATGATAGATAGAAACTAGAAAGAGAGATGATAGATATAGATAGATGGATGATAGAGATAGAGAGATGATGATAGATATATATGGATGATATAGATGAGATAGAGATGGTGATTATATATATATATATATATATATATGAGAGAGAGAGAGAGAGATGAGAGATGATATAGAGATGATAAAGATAAAGATAATCACGGATATACCCATCTATCTATCTATCTAATCTATCTTTTGTAGGGCCCAGAGGAGCAGCAGGGTAGACCTCGTCCTCCTCTAAGGTAGCCTGCGCCGGGCCAGGGAGGCTCTCTCTCTCTCTCTCTCTCTCACCAGGCTGAGCGCCACCTCCAGCATGGGCGCCAGGGCCAGGCTGCCGTGGAAGAGCGGGATGCAGTCCACCAGGAGCGTGTGGGGGGGCGGCGGCGGCTCCCGCTCCCGGCCCCGCTGACCCGGCGGCGGCTGCTGAGGCTGCTTCTCGGCCACCAGCAGCCCGTTGACGGCGCAGTGCGGGTACTTGGCGCCGTGCAGCACCATCTTGCAGTAGGCCTGCGTGCTCAGCTTCATCGCCGCCGCCGCCGCTTCCTCCGTCCTTCTCCTCCTCCTCACGGGACTCCCGCGGCAGCGGCTGCCCAGGCCCGCCGTCGAGCGGGGCGGCGGGGGAAAGGCCGCAAAAACGTCGCAAAAAAAAAAAAAAGCCACTGGGGGGGCCGTAAGGGAGAGGCGCGCGTGCGCAGATGGTAGCGGAAAAAAAAATGGGGGGGAGCCGTCTACTCTAGCCCGTCTCGATGGTCTTTAAATGGAGATAAAAGCAGCCGCGACTATAGAGGGGGGAGTTCATGCTAGAGAGGTAAAGAAGACTAGGCTGGACTGGAGGCGGGGGAAAACGCAATCATTTGAGGGGCTCAGGCGGAATCCTGCCGGGCAGGGAATTATGGGAGTTGTTGCACCCAGCTGAGCCACGGAAGAGTCTCCTTTCCACCTCAGCGGGAAAGAAAAAGCGGAAACGGGCCGCTCTTCACGTCGTAGCTCTATGGCGCCCGCTCTTTTCCTCCTCCTCCTCCTCCTCCCCCTCCTCCCTGGCTGAGTCCGCCGCTATCCCGTCGTGCCTCGGGCCGCCCCCCCACTTCCGGCCTGTCCTGCGCTGCGCCTCCCGTTTTCTCCTTCCGTCCTCCATCTCCGGCTGTAGAGGACACGGGACGTCTCGGGTGGGTGGCTGGCCGGCGGGCGGCTGAGGGGGCGGCCGCGGAGGAAGGACCCCCCCCAAGGGATGGGAGGCGGGGGGGCCGCGGGGGGAGGGGCGGGGAGACGCGAAGTGGGGCGTGGCTTTCCCGGGCGCCCCGCACTACAACTCCCATCGTCCACAGCCCAGGGCTGCCTGTCTCAGGTGCAGGGTGCCATAAGCTTCCGCGCGGGAAGGGGGGGCACTTTTTTGGGGGAGGGGGGAGCTACACACACACACACACACACACACACGGCTCCTGGGGCTGGCAGGGCAAACGAGGGGCAAATTTATTTATTTATTTATTTATTTATTTATTTATTTATTTATTTATTTATTTATTTATTTATTTATTTATTTATTTATTATCTATCTATCTATCTATCTATCTATCATCTATCTATCTATCATCTATCTATCTATCTATCTATCATCTATCTATCTATCTATATCTATCTATCTATCTATCTTTATATCTATATCTATCTATCTATCATCTATCTATCTATATCTATCTATCTATCTATCATCTATCTATCTATATCTATCTATCTATCTATCTATCATCTATCTATCTATCTATCTATCTTTATATCTATATCTATCTATCTATCATCTATCTATCTATATCTATCTATCTATCATCTATCTATCTATCTATCTATCTATCTATCTATCTATCTATCTATCTATCCAATTAAAATATTCGTTAAAATATTTCTGTAGCCTCCTCCCACCTTGCAGCCCTGCCCTCTTTCCATTCCCCGATGGGCGAATCTGGGAAATAGCTCCCTTTGGAGAGCCGGTTTGAGATGGGTGGGTGGGTGGAGGGATGGGCTGGAAAGCCCGACCTACCTCGCGGGGTTGTTGTTGAAAGGAGGAGGAGGAGGCGGGGGGGGCGTGTGGAGGGGGGGGAGGAGAAGATAAAAATATAGATGTGTAGATGCCGACTAGGTGACACTTTGGTCCAATTCTTTTCTCTCCGTTTTAACCCACCTGAGAGGGAGGTGGTTTATGAGACAAGCAGACAGGTGGGATCATGACACCAGTAGCAGCGGGGAGGTGGGAGGCGGGCTAGTCACCTTAACTATGTGTTTAGATAGATAGATAGATAGATAGATAGATAGATAGATAGATAGATAAGAGAGAGAGATAAGAGAGAGATATGATGGATGGATAGATAGATAAGGTGAGAGAGATGATAGGACAGGTGGATGGATGGATAGATAATAGGTAGAAATGATAAGACAGTAGGTAGAGATGATAGATAACAGGCTAGATAAATAAGATGGATGGATGGATAGATAATAGGTAGAAATAATAGGTAGGAATGATAATAGGATAGACAGATAGTAGGTAGAGATGATAGATAAGATAGGCTAGATAAATAAATAAGATGGATGGATGGATGGATAGATAGATAATAGGTAGAAATAATAAGTAGGAATGATAATTGGATAGACAGACAGACAGTAGGTAGAGATGATAGATAAGATAGGCTAGATAGATAAATAGGATGGCTGGATGAATGGATGGCAGTGGTGGGTTGCTCCTGGTTTGGTCTGGTTCTTGTGAACCGGTAGTAACGGTGGCAGGAGGCTCCGCCCACCTGCCCAGACATCGTCATGAACGATCTGTGTGTGCGCTCCCATTGCAAACTGGTAGCGGAGGTAAGTAGAACCCACCCCGATGGATGGATAGATAGAAAATAATAGGTGAGAGAGATGATAGGATAGGTGAGTGGATGGATGGATAGATGGATAGATAATAGGTAGAAATGATAATAGGATAGACAGACAGATAGTAGGTAGATATGATAGATAAGATAGGCTAGAATGATAAATAGATAAATAGGATGGATGGAGAGATAGAAAATAATAGGTGAGAGAGATGATACGATGGATGGATGGATGGATGGATGGATAGATAATAGGTAGAAGTGATAATAGGATAGACAGTACCATGTTTCCCCCAAAATAAGACCCTGTCTTACATTTTTTTGAATACTGAAATAAGCACTTGGCCTTATTGACATGCGCTGATCGGGCTTATTATTAGGGGATGTCTTATTTGGGGGGAAAATAGGGTAGGTAGAAATGATAGATAGATAGATAGATAGATAGATAGATAGATAGATAGATAGATAGATAGATAGATGATAGGTAAGACAGATGATATATATGGATGTCTAGACAGATAAGAGAGAGAGATGGTAGGATAAAAATAAAAATAGGGTCATGCAGGTTCACCTGTGAGGTGTTGAGGATTCTAGACAATAACATGGGTCATAAATCTTCATGGGAATGAGTCTGTCTCTGCCCATCTTGATCGGAAGTAAACTGAGCTCACGGGGGTTGACTTTTTAAAGCAGCTCTGACACGGACTGAGGTTGTGAAGAAGTACACCTTATGAAACTCTTTGGACATATTTGTGATTTAGGGTGATTAGGATTGGTTGTATTTTGAAAATATCCCTCGAAAGCAGATTAAATAGAAATATTCCCCGGGGTGTCTGCTAAACAGAGAATCTTATGTTAGGATTGAAACATTTCTTCCCCACCCTCTGTGTTCTTCGTATTGTTGCCTAGAAGAGCCTTTTATTCTTATGGACTTAAGTCTGAATTGGCATCATTTCCAAATGCAACAGAAGCTCTTGTGATACCTGAAAAAACATGACAGTTGGAAGGACATTGCAAGTGGTGGATTCTTAGTAATTTGTGCTACACAATGTTCTACCTTTTTTTTCTGTTTCAGGATGTTGGCTGCTAGGGCATTTAGCCTTATTGGCAGGCGGGTTTTGTCCACTTCTGTTTGTGCAAGAGCTCACGGACATGGTAAGCCAGCCATTGAATCATCTTAACCGGTAGCTTGAAAATACTTTGACTAGCGCATTTCAATTTAGGGATGCAAACTTCCTTTCTAATATCTAAATTCTTTTGTTGTGTTCTCATCATGCACTAAATAATAAAACTTCTCTAAAATTAAAATGTTAGCTCCTGTAACTACCTAGTAGAGAACTTCATGTTAAATATGCAGCTGAATTGATCTCGCTCTCTTTTACAGCATCCAATCTGGGTCGGTCACCGGAGGTTTAGTCTTCTGGGCGTTCACACTTGGAGCTCATCCTTGGGGAACTTCTGTCTACCAACTTGGAAGACTAAAATTCTGGTCCCGGTGACAGACCGAGATTGGATCCTGCAACACTATCCTGGGAGACATATTTTCTTTCATTCGTCAAGTCTCTTATCTTTTGTCAAGAGCCGAGGTGGTGCAGTGGTTAGAGTGCAGTATTGCAGGCTACTTCTGCTGACTATCGGCTGCCTGCAATTTGGCAGTTCGAATCTCACCAGGCTCAAGGTTGATTCAGCCTTCCATCCTTCCGAGGTGGGTCAAATGAGGACCCAGATTGTTGGGGGCAAAAGGCTGACTTCAGTAAACTGCTTAGAGAGGGCTGTAAAAGCACTGTGAAGCAATATATAAGTCTAAGTGCTATTGCTATTGTCTTGCCTATCATAGTGGCCTGATGGATCCAAATCTAATTTTCTGGCATTCTTTGTAATAGCTTCTTCTGAAGGAATAATAAAAACCGGGGATTTTTTTTGGCCATGCCAAATCTTTGGAGAATGAAAACTTTGATGCTTATTCTTCTGTTTTTATATTTCTGCCTTGCTAATGTCCTTCAAAGTTTCCAGGTCATATATTAGAATAAGACATTGTAGTTTATCTTTTATTTTATTTATTTTTTTGTCAACAGAAGTTACAAAAGCGCCACATTATACTCAGCCCGTCTATGAGGATTACCCTCTGATTCCCTTGCCGGATATTCCATTCATACAAGACCTGACTCCTGAGCAGAAAGCCCTGAAAGAAAAAGAGAAGGGCTCTTGGACCGCCCTCACCCCGGACGAGAAGATTGCTCGTGAGTAACACCGCAGAGGGAGAGATTGTTACAAGAGAGGAAATCAAAAGAAACTTGTAACAAAAATGGCCTGGCCTATTTAAACGCAGGTCATCCTCAAATTACGACTGTAGTGGAGTCTGCCAGTTAGTTTTAACTGACTGATGATTGTAAAGCGGGTCATCACGTGACCGATTCAATTTTATGATTTTTTTTTGTTTTTTGTTTTTTTTTTGCAACGGTGGTTACGTGATTCATTGTTCAGTATGGGGTGTTTTTGACAAAACCTGGAAGAAAACGCTGGTTTTCAGCAAGAGTGTCAGAAATCAGAGTTATTGGGATGCTATAAAGGGCCTTAAATTCAGGCCGGTTGCCAGGTGCCCAAATTGCAATCACGTGACCACGTGGGTGGGACAGCTGTCAGAATTTGGGAACTGGGTCATAAGAACCTTTTGGGGGAGGTGGTTCTGTTGTAATTTTGATCGGTCGTAAGTTGAGGGCTGCCTCTATGTAAATGTGTGTATTCAGTTGTGAGCATTGGTCTGGCTGTGTGTGTGTGTGTGTGTGTGTGTGTGTGTGTATTAATGTTTTGTATTTTGACAAAGAAGGATTTTTGTCCCTTCCCTCTTTCCTTCTCTCTCTCCATCTTGTTCCAGTATACCACCTCAAATTTGACAAAACTTTTGCTGAAATGCTGAAGCCATCGAATGAATGGAAGACTGCAATCGGTTTCGCAGGCTACATGATTGGCCTCGCAGCTTTATTTTTCATTTGGGAGGTTCTGTTTGGTAAGCCATCCCCTTTTAGGGGGTTCTTTAAAGCTGGGCATGGGGAAATTGATGGGAGTAGAATATTCAGCGTATACAACACCCCCCCTCCCCACGTGTTTGTATTGGTGGGAGAATTTTGTCTAATGAAAAAAGAGACAGGCGGGCCTTTTAAAATAGCTTTTCACGTTTTGTTTGGCTTCCTAGTACAAGGATAGGAAGGATGGTGGGGCACTAAACATTCGAGCCCAACAGAACACTTATACTGGCCCTCTCCAAGCCTTTCTCTCTTTTTCCTTTTTAAATTAAATCTAAAAGAAAGAAAAAGGAAGGAAGAAAGAAAGGAGGGAAGGGAGGAAGGAAGGAAAAATCTAAACGACCTCCAAACATACAGGGCATATATTTACAGATAACACTTATCTCAATAAATTGAAGCCATGATTCATTACCATCGTCCTTAGCTAATCTGCCTTAATTCTGCAGACCACTGAATAGTTGGAGCCATACTTTTGTCTTCCCAAACATGTAAAGAGAGTTGAGCTAAGGGGGCTCTAGGTGGGTATGAAGATACGGATGGACAGACCGTGAATTTGCGAACACAAGTGAGTGTCTAAATCAGTGATGGCTAACCTTTTTGCCATCGCGTGCCAAAAGCGGGGTGACTGCAGGATGGTCGCGTGCGTGCGCGCCCACACCCGTAATTCTATGCGCCCTGCCCCCCCCCTGCATCCGCGTGGCCCCCCCTATGCTCCCCCTGCTTTTGGCATATGATGGCACGGTTTCGCCCTCCCCAGGCTTCAGAGGCTTTTGAGGAGCCTGGGGAGGGTGAAAACAGCCTTCCCCACCCCCCTGGAGGCCCTCTGTAGACTGGAAACAGCCCATTTGCTGACTTCCGGTGGGCCCAGAAGGCCCAAAAATCAGCTGGCCAGCGCACGCATGGGTGCTGGAGCTGAGCTAGGGCAACGCTTGCGTGCCCACCAATATGGCTCTTTGTGCCACCTGTGGCATGCGTGCCATAGGTTTGCCATCACGGGTCTGAATTAACCTTAACAGCCTTTTTCTCTTTTGAGAGCACAAACCATGGCCCAACGCCCATCACATAGGAGAGATTTGTTGTTGCTGGCTAACTCGGATTGTCTCAAACCATGATCTCATCCAATTGCAGTTCTGAAACCAGTCCCCCACACCTTATCGGAGGATTGGAAAGCCATGGAGCTCCGGAAGCATCTGGATATAAAACCGGACCCAATTATGGGCCTTTGCTCCAAGTGGGATTATGAGAAGAACGAATGGAAAAAATAAAAACCTTCAGGAGCCCCCGATTTCTCTCGGGATATGAAAGTCTGAAACCATTTCTTCATCTAGGTTGCGGCCCGGCTTCTGCCTAGGATGAAGTAGAATCCTATCCTTGTTTAAACCATAACAGCTTTGTGTACCTGGAATTGTTGAACTGTTCCTACAGGTTAATGTGCAAAAATTGCTCCTAAACTAAATCCTGTTCGCAATTTTTTTTTTTTTTTTTGCAGGAAGATTAAAAATTACAGTTCAAAGAAATAAAAAAGGCATTTGGCTCTTTATTTGGTGTGGAACGATCTGTTTGAAATACCTGGAATAACCGACTCGTTGAGTTAAATAGAGGTTATTGAGTCAGCGACTGTCAAAGCTTCCTTAATAGGACGGTACGCCTTCATCGGCAATTGGTGCTTCAAAATTTTTGGGTTCTGGCAGCAAAAACTGATAAATTATGCTAGCATTCAGAATTGGTAGTCATTTATCTGGTGGGAATTTACAACTGAGAGCTGGGCTGCTGCACAGACAGGATTAAGCAATTTGCTGTAACTGTAGCAACCCTATTTTTTAAAAGAATTCCAGGCAAAAACATCCAGCTGCATATTTTGGAACAGGCAATAAATAAAAGCATGTTTAAATTTGTAGGATTAAACCGTAATCCTTTGACAGTTGGACTCCTGGCTTTCTGACACTTGTTCCGTAACTCTACAGGAAGGGATTTAAGTTTGGTTTATCACAAAAATTTGTATACACTGCTCTTCACCACACACATTTCATTCTGTTGGGGCAGAGTTGATTAGGAGAGGAATCTTGAAACCGGGGATTGTTTGATGAAGCCAACTCGGTATATTGTGTAAGTCAATTCTGTGCTTTGGGAATGGAATTAATAATCCAATAATCCAAAGGATACAATTCCTTTATGCAAATCGTACATAGAATAAGGGTCTATGGCAATTCGCCATGGCCAACTCACCTTGGGACAGCTTGCTTCGGAAAAGAAGTCACGCTAACATCAAAGGAATGATGGAATAGAATCATTAAAGAATGCAAAGGGAGGGACAGAATGAAATGCGAATGACAAAAATTAAAACAATTATTTTAAATAATTCAGAGGTTAAATTGTCCCATGGCAAATTGGCTGCAACAAGCCCCATTCCGTATAGAATATGCCAAACGATTCGTGTGGGAGACCGAGCTGAAAGCATCTTAAATACAATCTTGGGGGGGCCACCTAACTCTTAAGATAAAAAAACAAAAGGAAAATAAAGAATTAGGTAGGGCGTCTAAGGGCTTGAACAGAGCTCTTGCTGCTCTCCATGTTGGTTGTGGGGCTTCATCCATCAGGACAGGGACTGAGGAAAAAAAACTGGGTTTCTGCTGAACTCTGGTGGAGAACCCTGATGGTTGCTGCAGGCCAGGGAGCTTTTCCAATTTTATTTGGGTTTTGCTGTGGTAGTCCAGTGGTGCTTCCAATCATGGAAATTTAGGAAGAATCAGAACGTTGGACTAGCTTAAGACTAGCATGGTTTTCCTCCTGCAATGTGGACTGGTAAAAAGGTGGAAGTTCTCAACCCTCCTTCCCCAATTTATTGGCCTTCCCCCTCCCCCTCATCCTCCACATTGGATATCAGAATTCTCCTCTCCCTTTCCCATTATGTACTAGGATGGGAAGCTCCAACAACCGATTGAAACTAGAAAAGGATCTGTTTGCATTGCAGCCTATCACAGAGATAGAATGATGGAAGCAACTTGGGATCGAGCTTTGGTCTCCCAAAGGGCCCCCGTCAGGATGTCCCCTTTTCTTCCCCCTCCAAAATGAACCTTTTACAAAGAACTTATTTGTATTGCAACACAACCTCTTGAACTAGAGGTGACGTGACAGCAGTGTTCCAGTATTTGAAGGGCTGCCACAAAGAAGAGGGGGTGGGGTCAACCTATTTTCCAAGGCACCAGCAGGCAGGCCAAGAAGCCACGAATGGGAACTAATCAAGGAGAGAAGCAACCTAGAACTAAGGAGAACTTTTTTGACCATGACAATAATCAGTGGAAGGGATGGCTTCCAGAAGTTGTGGGTGCTCCAACACTGGAGATTTTTTAGAAGAGATTGGACAACCATTTCTCCAGAATTGTATAGCATCTCCTGCTTGAGCAGTGCACTACAAGACGTCCAAGGTTCCTTCCAACTCTTTGTTTTTCTGATGTTCTGCTTGGCAACTACTGGGTTGCAGTGAGTTACGGAACTGGGAGGGAGGACAGAGGGAACAGTGCCACATGCAGGCATCCCAAATCAACTGACCACTTGTCCCAGGTCCAACCCACCCAGGGTCCCCGCCTCCCTCTGTCCTGGGTGACCTTAGAAGGCTTCATTGGGCTGACAGCCGCTGACAGCAGCTGTCCTGTACCCAGAAAAGCACCAGAAGTCGGAGGGAGTGGAAGGAGACATTGCCAGCTTCTCGGTTCCCTGCATTCTCCCTCATTCCCAGGTTTGCTTCTCCTTTGACAAACACACCCTTTGGACACACAACTCACTCCTTCCTTGAAATAGGGTGCAGCTGGGTAGTAAGCCTCTGGCGCATGAACATTTTCTCTGGTTTGGTGTCATCTGTTTTTGCTTTGTAGGGTCTCGGAGACCAAGGGGATACACGGAGTGAAAGTTGCCTTTGCTGGCCCGCCAAAGAACGAAGAGTTGTCATGGGGATCGGCATGAGTAAGGTAGAATGCTAGAGTTTCGTAGAAAGGGCCCCCAAGAAGGTGTGGGTGGGTGCAGAATGGCTCGGTTGGAGAAAAGGGGGAGGGGTCATTTAAAACAATAAGCAGGAGCTGGAAGGGAAGAGAGGAGGAACAGGAGTGGAACATGACTGTCTTGCATGGTTCTTCTGTCATCCAGCTTTTCTCCATCCATCTTGGTCCATGCATCAGTGCATCAACTTTGTCTCTTACATCAATCAGTAGGCTGGAAAACCCTGGAGCTGAAGTCCACCCATCTTCATGTTCTCCAGCTTGAGAAACAACAGTCTTACATATGGGTGCTATCGTGCAATATCTGAACGAATAAACATGCAGGAACTGATTCAGATTTGGTATCTGCAGTTGAAGGTCCACGAAGAGATAGAAGAAGAAATTGTTTGGTGGGGGGGGGGGTTTTCCCCTCCCCGCCCCACCCCAAAACGTTCAGCAGAGCTTAAAAGAAAAAGAAGGAAGCAATCACTTTCTTTTTTTTTTTACGCAACTATCTGCCTAGCAGGAGGTTTGTTTACAACTTGTGTCTCTAAACAACGGGGAAAGTCATCGTTTCACTGAAGTATAATTAGACTTCCTGACTCAGATCGAGGGAGGGTCTCAAATTTCTCTCCGCTCTGAGTTGAAATAAAAGAAGAGAGCAGATTGTTCTCAACCAATCAGCAAGGCGGATTTTCCTGCAAGATCCCTTTGACTGTTCGTCATTCCAGGGATGCATCAACCCAACTCATTGTGATTTCAATCAATCGATCATCAATCAGAATAGAGCTGGAAGGTCTTTCTAGTCCAATCCACTGAGCTCAAGCTGGAGACCTTATCCAATTTCAGACAAGTGGCTGCCCAGTCTCTTCTTCAAAACCTCCAGTTATTAAACCACAATTATGGAGACCATGGATTAATGCAATGAGTGACTTTTTGAGATTTTCTGAGGACCATCTGCTAGGGAGGTGGTGGAAAGGACACTGCAAACAAATGGCCACATCTATGGCCTTCCAATTCTGTTGGATTTTATATATTGAAGTCCTGTATATGATACTATTTGGGGGGTTTTTTGTATTACTTTATCATTATATATATATATATATATAAATGTTTAACTTTCCCCACACTCTACAATTATTGATTGATAAGATATATAAACTCTGATGCATCTGTGTAACCAACCATCTTCCCTTCTCTTCTCCCCACCTCACCTCAATTTAAACCTTCCATCATTTACGCATCCGATGAAGACAGATGCACCTCACAAAAGCTTCCGTCTTTGAGTACATTTGCTTGTTGGGAAAGGTGCCACCAGAGTGTGTTGGCATTCTCTACATCTGTTTCAGTTTCTCTGAAGCTTTCTGAAAATGGGGTGCCCTGGATGTAAGACCTTGTGTGGGGAGTGTAAGATGGAGTAAATCAGCTCCTTTCCATGACACATTACTCAAGAAAGTCATTTTTTTGCTCTGGCATGGGAGACAATGCTTTCATGTTCTTTCTTGGTGTCTCCTTAGGTGGTTGAGGGCCTCTACCTCGGGAGCATCAGTGGTAAGTTTTTTCAGTACTTTATTCTTGGAGATGTTGGTGATGATTAGTGTTATGGAATTCTGCTCCTCCCCTCCCTTGATCTAGCCTAGTAAAATAGGCCTGGAATGAACCAGGGTAATGATCCATAGCACCATTGAGATAACAACAGTTGCAGGAATGTCCACAGGATATGATGAACAAAATCCAGATGGCAGCTGCAGAATTGAAATCGGAACTCTGTCTCTTTTTATGGGGGGCAATAGCCCTGAATAGTTGCAGGGCATCTCCTGAAGTTCTTCAGAACTTCCTTGGAGGCACACTAGCCCCACCCCCATCATATAACTGTGTTGCTGTGGCTTCTCCGAGTATGAAGTCCACATCAAAGGCAATCCATTTGTTCATTCTGGATCTCAGAAACATTTGATGCTTTGCAGATGCTGAAGACAAAGAGACCTTGACAAAACATGGGATCACCCACATTCTTTCGGTGCACAACAATGCCAAGCCTCTGCTGGAAGTGAGTATAGCAAACCCCTTGTGAGTCATTTTGGGGAGGGGAGACGGTCCTGCAAATTTCAGACTCACAGCTCCAAAGTGGTTGAAGGGCTCTTTCCTTAGAGTTGCCATCCATCCGTCTACACAGAAAACAGACGTCATAACTTACGGTAACCGATGGAGGGCAGCAGACCCACACAAGTCTGAATGAATCATATTCATTCTCCCAAAAAGAATGAAACTCAATGCAGTTTTCTTGGTAATGTTTTTTGGGTTGCCATTGCTTTATTCCTAGGGCTGAGAGAGAGGGGCTGGCCTACAGAGACCTGGCCTGCTTTTAAACCTAAAACAGGACTGATTGATTATGTACCATCCAGTCATTTTCGACCCTTAGACACCGTAGATCTTCTCCGTGACAATCTATCCCTAATCTGGTCTTTCAGGCCTTGAGATGGGACTACAATTCAGTTTTCCTAGCTCCTATTCTGACACCTTGAGCAGTTGACCAAATCCGGTTCCTCCTTAACTAGTTTGTAGGGTCTAAAGTTAACTCATCCAGTCCTTTAGGTGAATTCGACCGTGTCTCCCTTCTGCTGGAGGCAACATGACTGTGTGGCTATCACTGGTTTGGGAAAGGTTGGGATCAGAAAGAACCTGCTCACAAATTCCTCTTCACAAACTGGCAATTGTTTGATTTGCTGCATTGCATTAAAACCATGGTGGGCCTTGTCTTATCATCTGGTCCAAAATTCCCACCTTGAAAGAAGGGAGCGTGGGTGTGTGTGGGTTAGGTGAAGACGGGCGAAGAATGGCAACGCAAGGATGAGGCCTGGCAGATTTCAGCAGGCAGATGGCCCATCCACCAGCCTTACAACAGGATGGAGTAGGAAGGCAGAAGAGTGGAAAAAAGAAAAGAAGAGGAACCGGAAACACATGAATGTATTGAGTAATATGGCAATCCCAGGGCACAGAGAAAGAAATGCCGAGACAAGCTGTGGTTCCCAGGCATTGGGTTCATCCTACTGGGGGCAAAAGAGGGTGGCTGCTTCCTCCTCCTCCTCCTCCTCCTCCTCCTCCTCCTCCTCCTCCTCCTCCTCCTCCTCCTCCTCCTCCTCCTCCGGAAGGTGGGTGGGCTGTGAGGGAGAGGAGGTTCTAAAATGCTTGGCTGATTTTGCTGTTGTGCCTAACTTGCAATATATACCCCACCAAAGCTCCTTAGATTTGCATTTCCATGTTTTAAGTGATGTGCGTCTCTCTTGTTTTCTTTCTGAAGAGAGGGAACTATTTTACCGCTGACATTTTTAGCCCTGCGTTGTGTATCCCGGCTTAGCAGTTGCTATTCAGCCTCTCATCTCTTCTCCCCAAACCGCTGAGCTGGAGATTTGAATGCTGGCCGTGAACTTGGAAACTTCTCTGTGAAAGGCCAGATTCTGTCCTGAAGCTGCGTCCTCTTCTGAGGCAGCTATTCATTCCTGCTCTGGATCCTCTTTTACAATCCCTTGGTGGCCACACAAGGTTTTCCTTCTGGACTGGGAAGCCAAAGAGGATTAAACCTGATTAGGTTGTGATGAAAGATGCCAGGAAGGGTCAGAGATGTGGGACAGCCTGGAAGAAAACAATGACAAACCATTTATGTTCTGCTGCCAAGAAGCCATCATGGATGTGTTTATGGAGTCTCCAGGAGCTGGGCTCCATTTGGAAGAGATTTTATCTCTCTTTCTGTGCTTCCTCTCTTGTTTCATCAGAACTTGTACTGAACCGAGTGAAGAAAATACAAAGTTTAGCCAAGGACATTTTAGATCTCTGATGTTCCTTTCTCACGGTGCCCTTATCTCTCTCAAGTCCTGTAGTTGCCTGGTTCTATGGTTGGGCAGGCCAGATCCTCTCTCTGTACCCAACCAACTGTTCAGGGCAGTTATACTATGACTAAAATGGGACACACAGAGCCTCCAGTTCTTAGAGGAAATCCAAGAGATATATTTGATGACTAATACATACATTGACCCAGATGTAGGATCTCAGTTTTTCCCAGCCTAGCTCCTGTCTTACTCAGCAAAAGGTGTGTGGCTGTGGCCACACCACACACTAACTCAGGTCAGGCAAAAACCTAGTAGCTACATTGGTACAAAAGAATCAGGTTTGCTCAGAGTTCACCTTGGCCAGGTCCTTTTCCTGGTTGACAACATGCTGTGGGAACCTAGCTTGTGGTTTGGTGAGCTGGTAGTTCAATATGCAAACTCAGAAAATGAGCTAATTCGGTCCCAAAGTCATTAACACCCCCGCCCTGTGGGCAAATTTCCTGAAATTGTAACTACAGGTAGCTCTCTGCTCACAAGAACAATTGTTACCCCAAATGTCCATTGCTAAGCAAGATGGTTGTGAAGTGAATTATGCCCCATTTTATGACCTTTTTTAGCCACAGTTGTTAAGCGAATCACTGCCACCTATCAGCGCCCAAATTTTGATCACGTGGCTAAAACACTGCAATAGTTCTTAAGACTCTACAAAGAATGCAGAGAAATGCAAAAATAAAAATGATGAGGGGACTGGAGGCTAAAACATATGACGAACGGTTGCTGGAATTGAGTATGTCTAGTCTGATGAAAAGAAGGACTGGGGGAGACATGATAGGAGTCTTCCAATATCTCATAATAGCCACAAAGAAGAGGGGATCAAGTAATTCTCCAAAGCACATGAAGGCAAGAAACAATGGGTGGAAACTAATTAAGGAGAGAAGCACCCTAGAACTAAGGAGAAATTTCCTGACAGTTACAACAATTAATCAGTGGAACAACTTGCCTCCAGAAGTTGTGAATACTCTAACACTGGACGTTTTTAAGAAGATGTTGGATAACCATTTGTTTGAAGTGGTGTAGGGTTTCCTGCCTAAGCAGAGGGTTGGACTAGAAGACCTCCAAGATCCCTTCCAACTCTGTTATTCTAAGTGTGAAAAACAGTCAAAATTCATTTTTTTTTACGGTTGTTGCAACCCTAAATGATTTGTAAATTGAGAACTGCCTGTAATCCAGAAGGTGCAGTGAAAGATTTTTGTTAAAGTAAAACCCAACAAAGAGAAGAAGTCAGGACTTCTGGCTTCTCCCCTTCCCCACAACCTTGGTTCCCACAGATCCCTTTGTCCCGAGACTCTTTTTCCAAAATGATAATTATATTTAGGAGCACCAAATTGCCAAGGACCTCAGTAATGATGGTGATTTGGATGGACCTTTTTTTCTTTCAGTTCAAGACCAGCGAGGAACCAAAAGAAACAGGATGGAGACAGAGTCGAAAGTAGGAAACCATCCTGTCTCTTTCTGAAGCTTTCTCTTTCTCCTCATTCAGCAAGGCAGCTAGAATTTCTGAATGGATTGGATTAACTTAAACAAAGCAAAATAATAATAATAAAATACACTGAGATCACATCAAATGCAGGTGGCTCCCCACCTGCTTTGAGTCAAAACTGTCTTAGAATTGCAGCGAAGAGGTTTGGCTGTTGAGTACCACAACAATCATGGCACTTCCTCATTTAAATCGATAAAGCCTCTTCCTGTCGATGTTTATCTGAATCACGGATAGATCTCCGTAAACTTTCTCTTTTGAATTTCAGGGCATGACCTACCTCTGCATTTCAGCCTCAGACTCCTCGAATCAAAACTTGTAAGTTCTTTCAAAATTGTTCCACGTGCTGTGAGGGTAACGGAGGGTAAAAAAATAATATCGTTTCAGAAATAATGGGTTTTTGAGACGAGAAAGCAAGATAGGACAGTAACACCATTCACAGCAGTGTTCTAACTCATGGCCTTATTTTCACAACACGGAACACACAATCTGTTCTCATCCTTCCATTTCTTTTTTAAAATGATTATTATTACACAAAATTTAAAGCTTATTAATTTTACTTCTCACTGGTTTATTCCGGCATGCTTCTAATGATGTCAGAGTCACCTGGGTGAATTAGAGCAAGTATACAGTACATACTCTGTAGTACTTCCCACAAGCTGTTCCCAGTTCAATATTGTTGCCGCTGTAGTGATGCACACCAGTTTTGGCCAACATAGCACAGTACTCAATTTCTGATTTTCTCAAAGCAGGACAGTTATTGGCTAGGATAACCAACGGGGCTTTGCCCTGCGGAATCATTTTCAGAGTTTGTTTATATCCAAATGCATATTTACTACTTTTCATAACCAGCTGAAGTCTAGAGTTTAGGGATTCTAAAGACTTTGATTTTCTTTTCTTTGATTTGATCATTTCTTTGATCTTTTTTAATGCACTTCTGATTGTCATGTGTGTCTCTGTTTACTTCTCTTCTATTCATGTTCTCATCATACGCTAAATAACAATTATTTCTTCAATGCTGAATCAAAGCTGCTACCTACTGCCCAAATCAATACATTTCCAAGTGTTTCATTTTACTTGTGAATATCCTCCAAGGAAAGTCCGGGCTACTTGTACAAGCAGGGGAAATCAAGTTGACTTTTTAAGAAAAACCAACTGCACAATTATAGAAGTTGGCTGGTACCTGGTTCAATATTAGCAACTGCTAGAGGGATTTTGAAGTCCTAGTGGACAATCACTTAAATATGAGTCAGCAGTGCGCTGCAGCTGCCAAAAAAGCCAATGCAGTCCTTGGTTGCATTAAGAGAGGGATAGAATCAAGATCATGCGAAGAGTTAGTACCACTTTATAATGTTTTGGTAAGATCGCACTTAGAATATTGCATCCAGTTTTGATCACCATGATATGAAAAAGATGTTGAGACTCTAGAAAGAGTGCAGAGAAGAGGCTAAAACATATGAAGAACGGTTGCAGGATTTGGCTAGTCTAGAGAAAAGAAAGACTAGGGGAGACGTGATAGCATCTTCCAATATCTCAGGGGCTGCCCCAAAGAAGAGGGAGTCAAGCTATTCTCCAAAGTACCCGAAGGCAAGACAAGAAGCAATGGATGGAAACTAATCAAGGAGAGAAGCAACCTGGAACTAAGGAGAAATTTCGTGACAGAACAATTAACCAGTGGAAAAACTTGCCTCCAGAAGTTGTGGTGCTTAAAAACACTGGAAGTTTTTAAGAAGAGATTGGACAACCATTTGTCTGAAATGGTCTAGGGTTTCCTGCTTGAGCAGGGGGTTGGACTAGAAGACCTCCAAGGTCCTTTCCAATTCTGTTATTCTGCTAGAAAATAAAGTGATTGACCAGATGAGATCCTTGAATAAAAAGAGGTGGTAGCATTGATAGGAAAATAGGGGTGGCCGAAAGCCCTACTAAGCAGGTATATACAAAAGTATGAAGGCTATTGCTTAATGCATTGTAAGCCGCCCTGAGTCTCCGGAAAAGGGCGGCATATAAATTGAACCAATAAATAAATAAACAAATAAATAAATAAATAAGTAAATAAAATGGGTGACACATTCAGATGATGGACAGGCTACGCTGATCCCTGCCGTCTGAACCAGTGGGTAGGCAGAAAAGGTTTGAAAAATGCACAAAGTTGTGGCTTCAACCCATACAGGTTTGCAGACAGAAAAGTGTGCTAATTTAATTGCAATTGAAATAATAAATAAATAATTACATGAAATCAGCAGCCACAGTTTTATTGATCACCCAAACAGTTCCTGAACGTCTGGTTTTTCCACAAATAGTACAAATATCTTGTGTTCCTGTTATAAGAGCATGGCTACCGTACTTAGTTAATACCCATGTGATAAATTTATGTGCTGCTGTAGCGGAGTGTTGGTTTTGCTTTGAGAAGTTATTGCCAACATGTTTTGATTTTCTTTTTTCAGTTTTGAATTTTTTCCATTTTTGAATTTTGAATTCAACATCTTTCGAACGTTTGAAGCCAAAGATGGAAGCGTTTTTGCAAGCATCTTCTCCTGTGAGCTAAATATTCCCTCTGAAAAAAATTTTTGGGTGAGAATATCCTTCTTCAGCAAAATTGGGTGGTTATTTACTCCTCCCCCTTCCCTCCATCTTTTTTGTGCAATCACAACACGCCTCCCCGCAGTGGGCCAAAGGAAGGAAACTCTGTTCTGAAGTGCCTATTTTTTGCACTCTGTTTTGGAGTCCAGATTTCACAATCTCCAATGAACTTTGAAAGTGTTTTCCAAGAAGATAGTTGAGAACGAGGTGGCATGGACTGACCCCAACACCACAGATTAATGGCAGCATTTGGGACCCTCAGCCTGTTTCTGCTCCAAACATAAGGGGGTTGGGAGGGAGGAGGATGGCTCCTGGAAGGATCTCAATCCCAGGAGAACATCACCCAAGATCTTGTGTTGTCATGAGGAACACCAATAGCGTATTTAATTTTCTTTCTTGAATTCTGGCTTGCTAGTCAAGAGAACTGTTTAGTCAGGGTCCCAAAGCAAGTGGCGTTTCTTTCTTCTCTCCATTCCAGAATACAACATTTTAAAGAGTGCATCAGTTTTATTCATGAATGTAGACTGCATGGTGGAGGCTGTCTCATTCACTGGTATGTAGTCCTGCCTTTTTTGTTATTTTCCCTGGAAACTCTGGGAGTTTAAATATCTGCAAATAAACATACCTTTAAATCTTGTGGCTTTCCTAAGAAGCATTATAGTGGTGGCCATGGTGAAATGTGGCAGGGGAATTTTAAGAGTTGACCAAGTTCACAACTGCTAGCTGGGGAATTCTAGGAGTTGAAGTCCAAAAATCTTAGCATTGTGAAGTTTGAAAACCCTGATCTAGTTATGCTGTTTGTGGAAAAATTGGATTTCCAGATCTGCCCCAAAAGATCGCCAGTGCACGTCCGTAGATGAGGATGGACTTGAAGCCAAGTCTTCTCAAGCCTCACCAGACATCTTAACCCAGGGGTCTCCAACCATGGTAACTTCCACATGTCTTAAAGTTGCTAAGGTTGGAGACCCCTGCCTTAACCATTTCATCTCACTGCTTCCCATTTTGTGTCTTGATTATTTAGTTGAATCCAGTTAATTTTGGCAGGTTAAACAAGCCATGATTATAAAAGAATGGTTTTAGGTGATGATGGACAGTTACAAGTTGACCATTTTACTTTGTCTTAGTAAGAAACTCTTGCAGATCCCAAGTCGGTAGTGAATATTTTCCACATCCGAGTAAAATGAAGACTGTCGCTTCTCCTTTCTGTCAACATAGCTTAGCGGGAGTTTCTCGCAGCACCACAATTTTGGTGGCCTACCTAATGACGGTAACCCACTTTGGCTGGAAAGAATGTTTGGCCGCTGCCAAAGCTGTCCGTTCCTACGTGAGCCCCAACTTTGGGTTTCAGAAACAGCTTCAGGAGTACGAAGCTACGTTACTGCAGGAGGTAAGGCATCACAAGGGCTCCTTGTTTGACCCCGGAGTCATTATGGGCAAATCTTTGCATGCTTGTGTCCTCCTCAGTAGCACTTAATTTACTTTTATTAATTACTTACCTTTTTATTATTATTTATTGATCAAATTTATATAGCTGCCCGTGTCACCAAAGGTGACCAAGTTAATGCTTAGGAAGGCTTTTGGGGAAACGGGTGAGGCAAAAACATGAATTGGTACGACAGGCGTGAAACAATTACCGCACGGAGTCATATGCTCAGTGTAATGCCATGATCTTGTATCGCACATGTTTGATGTGCCTTTTTCGCATGTTTGTAACCAGGGGGTCTCTAAGGGCTGGTTGAGGGCCAAGAAGACCACATCCTACAAGCTTCAGTCCCTTCTTTGTATGGGTCACCTTAGTCCTTGCATCCCACAGAGAATTTCCCAGCTGGATGGTCCGTTGTTCTTATCAAAACACGGAACTCAGCAGGAACCTCGTAAGCTAATATGGAACCTTGATTTTTGATTGCAGTCAACGCTACAACTGTTTCAATGTACATTGTGGGTGCAACGCAGGTAAAAAAAATATGCCAGGGATTCATTCCATTGCACAGATTTGGTTGTCATCTTGACTTTTTTTTTTTGGCCCTTCTACCCAGGTCCCCATAACTCAAAATCTTTTAATAGCTTACCACACCAGGAATGGCAGCTCTGGTTTCCCCCAGGCCAAGTGAATTTACTCTGGGCTCACTTCCTTTTTCCCCCTAACCACTGAAATCAGGACGTTCTGAGAAAAATACTCTGCTTGAAGTGGGATGAGACCAAGTGGAACAGGAGCTGAGAATTACAGTGCAAAAAACAAAACAAAACAATCAATTCTTCAGAGAAAACGTTCAACTGTTGCAGAAGTACCGAGCTTGGGATTCCCCCCCAACAGCTAAAATGTCACCCCCCCCAAGAAAGGTCCCAGATGTGGAACTTGGGCTGTGGCATCAGTGGGCACAACATTCCCACCAGGAGAGTGACTGGAGGCCTTGAGGCAGGGACCACCACTCATCCATCCTACCAACGTGTAATTTTCTGCCTTTAAAATGAGGCATTGGACGTGGGGTGCCTGTTTGCAGGCTGTAACTGAGACCACCAGACACCCATCGAAAGGAAGACAGATCCTCCTTTTTGGTCCCTCATGTTTTCCATCCGGCAGGTGTAGCCTCAAAACTCAAAATTTTCTGGATTTTTGAATATTTGAGCAGGGTTTTTTAAGGTGCAGCACATCCTTGCTAAGTACTAAGGGTGTCCAACCTTGGCCGTGTTAAGACCTGTAGGCTGGCTGGGAATTTTGGGAGCTGAAGTCCACAGGTCCTAAAATGGCCAAGATTGGAGACCCCTCTACTAAATAGTTTTTTTTAAAAAAAAAATCAAATAATGTTATTCATTGATGAATAATCTTTTTATAAAACTTGTTAGTCTGATAGGTCTCCACCAGGCTCCTGATTTTTGATAATTAGGAGAAGGGTGAGTGACAGTGATTTATTTTATTTATTTATTTATTTTATTTTATTAAATTTTTATACCGCCCTTCTCCTGCTGGACTCAGGGCGGTGAACAGCCAAGAATAAAACATCAGATACAAAATTTAAAATTTTTAAAAGAATTAAACAAATTTTTGGCCCAATAAATTTAAAACACCCCAACTAAAATCAATTTACAGTTAAAAATATCTAAAAATATCTAAGGGGGGATTTAATACATTCACAGAAAAGGAGCAGGCCAGAGCTATCGATATATCGTGGTACCGAAGTAGAATTGCTCCTTTTAGAGGCAGTCTACCTCTGAATAAGTGTTGACTTCTTGCCATGCCTTGTGGAAAGGGCTTCCCGGAAGACAACGAACAGTAAGATCGTGAGCTCCAGGTTGACCTTTAGAGTCACAACCACAAGGCTGACTTGGGGCTCTTCCATTCCCCTGACTCTGAAACTGAATGAAATATTGGTTTCTCTTTCGCATTGATTCTCTGAAATGAATATATATACTTCAGATTCATCATTTTCCAGGTAGCTTATCTGTGCAGGATGGGCTGCAAAGATTGGTAAGCAGGTGCTCATGTGGTCAAAAAGCCAAGATATGCGACAGACATAAAACCAGATGCAGCTTGATCCCATCATTGTGATTGACATCTTGACTTTTTTTGACCGTATTCTGTAGCAGTGGGTGACATATCACTCCCCCACCCTGATTTTTCATTTTTCTAGGTCCACTGATCTCAGATGCTTAATCAGCCCCACTTCTGAAAACCAAAGCATTAGAGCCTCCCTTAAATGTCTACTTAGGGAGAGTAGGGGGAAGGATTGGCAAAACTGGAGGCGGAGTTAAAAGGGGGAGCAGCCTAGAATCCCTACGTAACCATAAGCGAACTAAATTCAATTCCATGACCCTCATCTAACACCCTAGGAAGTGCTAACAGTTAGTTGAGAAGGTTCCTGTGGAGAGACTGTTTTGCAATAAATCTTCCTCCCCAACAATGGCGAGACCCATCCGGGGCTCGTCAATCCGTTTAATTGGACCTTCATGGGTGGACCCTGATCTTTTGCGCCTGGCAGGAAGTTAGTGAAAATATTTCTCATTCTTCTACCTAGTATACTATTTTTTCCCCTTCATTATAGCACTTTAAAACAAAGAAAAAGAAAAGGACACCATTTGGTGTTCCTAGAATAGCTAAAACATTAATTAATTCATTATGCACAAGGTGAAAAAAAGTTTTCTTTTGGAAATCCCCAAATGAGCATTGTTGCAAATCATATGATTTATTAAAGAACATAGATAGATAGATAGATAGATAGATAGATAGATAGATAGATAGATAGATGCTGGAGGGATGAGGGATAGAGAAATAGGGACGGATGGGGAGAGAGAGAGAGAAATATATATATATATAGGGGTGTTTATATATTTTATATGTGTGCTTTTTCTGCTAACATTGATTTGCCCAGAAAGCCAAATTTCCTGTTATGTTGTTCGATCAGTAACAGTTCGGAGCAGCCCCTCAAAAATCTCTAGCAAATTATGCGCTTGCAGATCTGAGGCCGAAGAAGGTTGTGTAAGCAGAATTTGAAGAGTGGGAAAGGGAAATGAAAAAAAAAAACACTTTCCTTTTTTTCTTTTTAAAGTCCAATTTTTATGCTGGCCCCGTGTGAAACCAGAGAGTGGAGCTAAAGGCTTTGAGAATCTTAATTAAGCACCTAGATGCGGCTTTATTCGAACAGCATGGCAGTATTAAGAAAAATCAAGTGAGCTTTGGGTCTTGTTCATAGCCCTGAGAATGGTAGTGAAATGTCACTATTGTTTCCTGTTTCAAAACGATGTGTGGCTGGTTTCAGGCGGGTGGGGGTGGGGAGCGGGTGGGCGGGTGGGTGGGCTCCGCGACCCGAAGAGGAGGTATGTCAGGAGAGGCAAAAATGTTTTAAAAATTCCCACTGGAAGTCCCCCAAAACTAGCCAGAGCCCACTTGTGGAAATTAATGCTCAGGGGACCTTAAAGGCTGCTATGAGTGGAATTCACAGCCAGCTCTAATTGGTGCTGGTGAAAGTCCTTTTCTCACTGACGTTTTGATGCTTTCCTCGTGCTTTCCTCACGTGGCTTTATGAAAGTGACAAGGGTATTTTGCTGCTCTCTGGGTTGAAATTAAGACTTGCCAAAGGCTCTTCCGGGGTAGTGGTGAAATTTGGTGATGATCCTGGAACTGCATTGGGCTTCTGGGATTGCATGTTATTTATTTTTTACTTGGGAGCAGTTGATTAAAGTTACTTTATTCAAGAAGAGCAACCAAGATGGCCTGAGGCTAAACCGTGCATTGAGTGAATGAAGGAATTAGGTTGTGTCTAGTCTAGTGAAGAGAAAGACTAGAGGGTGACATGATAACGGTCTTCCAGTACTTGAGGGGCTGTCACAGAGAGGAGGGGGTCGTCCTGTTTTCCAAAGCACCAAGGAGGAGAAGTAACAGGTTGGAAGATCATTAAAGAGAGATCCAACTTAGAATTAAGGAGAAATTTCCAGATAGTGAGAACAAACAGTGGAAGAGCTTGCCTCTGGAATTATGGGTGCTCCATCACTGGAGGTTATCAAGGAAACTTTGGAGAGCCACCTGTCTTGAATGATATAGGGTCTTCTGCTTGAGCAGGAAGTTGAATTAGAAGACCTCCAAGCTTCCTTCCAGCCCTATTATTCTATGCTCTATGCTCTACTTCCAACTTAGCTCTAGTTTAAGAGGACTAATAGAACTTTAGTTCTGGAAGGAAATGATTGTGTTGGATTTCTATGGAGGTCCATGCATCATGGAGATAGAGTGAGAAGACCCCCAACATAGACATTGTGTATGTCTGCATAGGGAGTATGAGTCTTAGGTGACCCATATCTGTCTTCTAAGACAACATTTTCTCCTTGAGTTGACCACAGCCTGTTGACTGACCTTTCATTCTATGTACTCTCTGTATGTTGGCCCAACCTTCTCATTTGATAGCTCCTCTGGAATTTTGTCTTCGCAGTACCGAAACTGGGTCCAGATGGAGTATGGCAAGAACCCCCTCCCTGACCAAGAGGAGCTACAGCGGTTACTCTCCCCCAAAGAAGAGAAAGTCAATGAGCCACAAATAGGACTCGGAGAAACCAAATGGAACGGGGCTCCAAACCCAGACAACCACGAGCCACACACCAGATATGGTGACAGCAGCAACAGCGGCCAACACCAAGGAACCAACCGATAACTGGAGGAGCATTTGGAAAGAACCTTTTTAGCTTCTTCTTTTGATTGATATGCAGAGGGTGTTGTAGGCCCTTCCTTTCTGGTCCTTCCTTGAGTGTGTTCAGACTCCTTGTGGGTTGGGCTGCAACAGTGGACTTCTCCAAAGGTCAGCTTAAGTGCCTCTTGCTCTCCCATTTGGAGGCTGCCCATGTCAAGAAGAAAAAAAATGGGTCCTTTAAACAGTTTCAACGAGATGGGTGTGCAATTATCCCAAGCGTCTTGCTGGCTGAGAAGATGCAAAGGATCTTGGAAATTATTTTTGGGATTTGTTCTCAAAGATGACATGGAGAACACTTGATTTGAATAGGAGTGATGAATATGGTTAGCAGGAGCATGTATCTTGGGAAACAGGTGATTTTTTTTTATTAGTAATAATCCTTAGAATTGGGAGTGATTTCAGCTTTTGAGAAACAGATTTTATTACGTCTGCTTCGACTGTTGTTTGAATTAGTGCCCCAAATTAGATGCGCTGTGATGGGAACATTACTAAGATAAGCCACCAATGAACTTAAATAATGCAAATCAGTATGATGTTTACATGAACAATAATAATACCCAACAACATAAGCCTGCAATTCTCTACTGAATATCTAGGGATCTATCATGTTATCGGATTGCCCTAAATTTCTTTTCGTGATACTGCTTAAAGGGATTTTCACACACATGTTCAAAAGAAGCCCTTACACGAATCTGGGTCTGCAACCTTCACACATTCACCATCAGGTCCCACAAACATTTAACTAGGGAAGGGAGCCCCATTTTGCCATCAACACTTGGGATCTATGGGCAAGATTTATTTTTATTTTTTTACAGAAGCTCCACCTTTTCAATTAATCTACTGTATCATTATCCATTTTAGATAAGGCGGCCATTCTTGTTGCAATAGCACTTAGACTTACATCCCACTTCACAGTGCTTTACAGCCTTCTCTAAGTGGTTCAGCCTCTTGCCCCCAACCATCTGGCTTCTCATTTTACTGACCTTGGAAGGATGGAAGGCTGAGTCAATCTTGAGCAGTGAGTTAGTTAGTTGTGTGCAAGAACGGTCTTCCCAAATCACCAAGCCAAACTCCTTGCCTCCTTTGCTTGGGAGCCTGGCCTGCAGCCTCAATGGAGAAGCAACTGCAATTTTGGGGGTGGCTTAAAATGGCTTATGGGGGAAGTTCAGAAGCAGCCCAGACAGCTTGTCTGGCTCTTCTGCAAACGGCACAGGAAGCCCACATGGGAACTCATCTCGGAAAGAGAAAAGAGGCTGCCTCTGGTAGGAACAGGAAATCATCGTAGATATGTGATAAGCAGAGATTACTTTTACAACCGGGCTACCAACAGATCGAAGCTACGGCAGGATACATTGCTGAAGTGAGAGCATTTGATTCCTCGATCCTTGCCTGAAAGATCTCCCATTTGGTTGCTGTCTCACAGGGCGCACAATCAGTGTTTCTGGGAGAAAGGGCCTGGGTAGGAAAATCAGAGGTGAAAAACCACATAGGATTTTGAGTCTTGGAGGGTTCTCCTTCATCAAGACTCAAAAATCAAATCTCAAAGGTTACTTTTTATCTATGGACATCCAAGAAGGAAGCCGAGCAAGGTCTCTGGATGTCCCCAAAGTGCCGTTTTTCAAAAAGCAACTAGACTTTCTTTGTTTTTCCACGAAGACACGTCTCATCCAAGGAGCTTCTTCAGTCAGTTTCCCATCCCAGAAGCTTCTTCAGAACTGAAAAAGTTTCTTGGATGAGAAGTGAAAAGTCTTTGTGGAAAAACATATGGCTGTAGCCCCATCTCTTTTCAACTCCTAGTAGCGATTCAGTTTGCTCCAACTATACCCCAGCTCTGTTTCTAAAACCATTTGCTAAGAGATGAGCAATGTTGAACCTGATAAATATTTTGAAGTTTTGAAGCGAAAGGTCTTTAGTACCAGAGTGTCAGGCTAGGAACAATCATTAGCCATCCTTTGGGTTTCCAGGAATCAGGAGGAAGAGGAGATAACTATGAATTGTGGATTTCCAAGAAACAGACGAGCAGACATTTTTACCCAAGCCTGGATGACTTGTGAGAACATTACTTCCTTTTTCACCATTTGTCTGTTGCAAAGATTGAGCAGATTCCAATGAAGGAGAATATTTGTAGTTCGGGGTTGAAATGAGGAGTTCTTGGTGCTCTCTGAGCTTGGTGGTTTCCTTGCAGATATTTCATTACCCAAAATAGGTAACATCATTAGTGCTAGTCATGATGTTACCCAGTTTGGGTAATGAAACATGTGCAAGAAAATAACCAAGAGTACCAAATGCCACCACCACCTCCTTCTCCTCCTCCCTCCTCCTCCTCCTTCCTCCTCCTCCTCTCCACATACCCCACTCCCTTCTAGTGCCAAGGAAGTTCCCTTGTTGGGTAATGAAACATCTTTAAGAAAACAACCAAGCTCTGAGAACAGGACCCTCACTGAGCAGATTTGACTGAAAGGGGGTCATCGCCCCCTCCTCATTTGCAGACGGAAGTCCAAGGCTGAAATGGAGCCAGACAAGGAAGTTAAACCTGGTTGATCAAACATGAAGATGATGGTGAGAGATCCTAGCTTCCGTGTCCCTGGGAAGGAAAAAAATGTTTCAGGGCAGTTGGTCCTTAGATTTGATAGATGGCAGACACCTCATGACATTCCTTGACCAGCCTTTGCAAACATCCTTGGAGAAGTTTAACCTTCATGACTAAACTTTATTGATTTACTAAAACAATAAGGTTGTCCAGAAATGCATGGACTGTAGTCTGCCCATAGACATAGAGGCAAAATAAAGCCATAAAATGAGGAAAATGTGCTGGGCTACCTATTATCTATCAGCTGGCCAAATAGTTCTGTAAGCTTTACAGTTTCCTCTGTAGTATAACTGTAGGCAAGGAAGGAAGAAATGCAGTTTAAAGAAAGTCCCCGGGGAATGAGGGAAAGCTGCCTCCAATTTTGTCCTCTAGTGACATTTCTCACAATTTTTAACAGATGTTCAGCTGCTGGGCAGTTGTGCCCTCACAATTCTCACCCTCCTTGTGGTGTCATCCTTAGAAAATGACACAATTGCCGCCCTTCCTGTGGAGCCCCTCCTTCACCTGCCAACCTCTGCTAAGTTTCCACCCTAACCATCTTTTTCTCACGCTTTGGGCTTTTCCCCTACCTCTTTCTTGGCCCTCTTGACCATTAACTAAGAAAATAAATTAAAAACTAACAAATAAAGCGGAATGGCAGGAAGGCAAAGGAAAGAAAGAAAAAGAAAACAGGGAGGCAAGAAGGCAAACAAAAAAAAAAAGAAAGAAAGAAAAGGAAGAGAAAATAGCAGCAAGGCAGAAAAAAGAGCAAAAGATAGGTAGGAAGGAAGGAGGGAGGGAGGGGAGGGGGAGAGATGAAAGGTAGGAAGGTAGGTGGGAAGAAAGGGTGGGATGGGAGAGACAGATGAAAGGAAGGGAGGGAGGAAGGAAAGAAAAGAAAAGAAAAAAGAAAAGAAAAGAAAAGAAAAGAAAAGAAAAGAAAAGCTGGAAGGGAAGGCAGGAAAGAAAAAGAAAGATTTCCGATAAGGAGAAGCAGATACTCCTGGGCAACCACCCAACTCCTCCGTCTCCGCCTGGTAGGCGCCCCTCGACCCCCGAGCGGGCAGTTCTGCGACCCGGGCACTCCAGGAAGACTCCCACCTGGCAGGCGTGAGTGACGCGCCCGCCCGCTGATTTCTTTGAAATGGGGGCAGTGGTAAGAAACCGCTGGGCATGCTTCCCCTCCCATTGGCCAGCCTACCTCCCGCTCTAGCTTGCCATTGGCTGAACGAGCTGTGTGGCCGACCTCCTCCGCTCGGACGGGGGTATAAAATGCTCCTCAAAGAGCGAGTTTCGGGCTAACTTTTGCGGGCGGTGCGCTTATCCCGGGAAAGCTTCTCACCTCGCTGCAGCCGGCGCAGTCCAGATGTGGAGCAGGTCAGCGGGAGGAGGGGGAGGCAGAGGACTTCCCTGGAAGAGGGTGGGCAGGTCTTGCCAGCCTGGTAGCTTGTGGGGTCTCCTGGAGGGACGGTGATGGGCTTCCAGATCCAGTGTTCTGAGCATCCAGAGGGAGGTCCCCTTTCTCCTGGGCTTCTGGACATTCAGGACCTTGGACATCTTCTCTGCCGGTTTTGGACCCGACTTTTTCTTTTGATCCCGCAGTTGCCGTCTTTGCTTGCCTTGGGTTGGTTTCTTGCAGCTTTGGGGCTCTGAAGTTGGATGAGCTGTCATCCCTTGGCATGGCCAAGGTCTCCGGGGTAGCTTTCCCTCCTGAAGTGGAGGCTTCAGAAAGAGAAACGGAGGGAGAAGAAGGAGAAGGGAGGAGAGACGGAAGGGGAGGACACAGATGGCTTGACTTCTCACGGCAGGAGAGACCAAACGATGGTGCAATCAACATCTGTCTTGAACAAGGTTTCTCAACTCAACCACTTTCCGATGTGTGGATTTCAACTCCCAGAATTCCCCGGCTGGGGCATTCTGGGAGTTGAAGTCCACGCATCAGAAAGTGGTGGAGGTTGAGGAACACTGGCCTAGAAGCAGAGTTGGGACATTTCTGCTCTGGTCTCCTTCCTGGTCCTGAAGAACATAGAAGCTGCTGTTCTCTTAGATTTATGCATCCTGCACAGGGACCGACTTTGAATTAGCTTGCACGGAGAAGTCTTCCTGTAGAATTGTTCATTGGACTGTGGTGGCTGCTATTTTTTGACAGCCTTTAAAAGGAAATTGTGGCCGGGGTTTTAAAAAATGGCGCACTAGCTCGAGAAGCCCAAATTAGAAACCTTCCCCTAAAGCTGAAATTTAGAACGTTAAAATTCTAACCAAGAATTTGCAGTGAGATATTCTAGGTTGCTATTTAAACGTGATTTGTGTGACCCATCCCCACACTTTAATTCCGGTTCTCTAAGGCTCATGACATTCTAATTTAGACACACGTTTTACTTCTTGGATTGCAGTGTTTTCTTTAAAACAACGACATGAAAGGAATCTTTGAACCAGTCCTATGATTCTATGATTATTGAGATATTGCTCAGAAGCTGTTCTTCAGATCAGTACAAGTTTCTTGAGAAATGTGCAACAAAGATGATTAGGGGGTTGGAGGCTAAAAGATACAAAGAATGGTTGCAAGAATCCGGTATGTCTAGTCTAGTGAAAAGAAGGACTGGGGGGGACATGATAGCAGTGTTCCAATATTTGAGGGGCTACAACAAAGAAGAGGGGGGGGGTCAACCTCTTCTCCAAAGGCAGGACAAGAAACAACAGATGGAAACTAAGCAAGGAGAGAAGCAACCTAGAAGTAAGGAGAAATTTCTTAACAGTGAGGACAATTAAACAGTGGAACAGCTTGCCACTAGAAGTTGTGGGTGCTTCATCACTGGAGATTTTTAAGAAGAGACTGGACAGCCACTTATCTGAAAAGGTACTAGGGTCTCCTGCTTAAGCAAAGGGTTGGACTAGAAGACCTCTAAGGTCCCTCCCAGCTATGTTATTCTGTTAAAATCTCTCTCCATTACAAAGCATCTGCTTTAACTGTTAGATTTAACGGTGCTGTAGAGCATCGAG